ATTTGTTTAAGTATGCAAGACGTGACACACAATCATATAAAAATGCTACGTAACACAATTCAATTAAATTTTAATGTATAGTAATAATTAAAGAAAGGTTCCAATTTTATCCATTCTTTCGCTTCTTTTAATAGCGTCCTTCGGTTTTCTCTAAATTCACCATCTATCAACAATGACCTCTTCATTTCTCCACTGCAAAGAATACTCTACATAATCCCAGTTATTTTGCAAATAAAATTGAAGTTGAATTATTCTGGCCAGTTGTGACATAAGAAGAGGCATCCCCGTACATCTCGACACTCAGGGAAAGGCCCTATCAATATGTACAAAATGAACATGCTAGGCTAAATAATTTAAAAGTTATTTCCTATCATTAAGCGCGTTTATAATACGTAAATCGGATCGTTCGTTCAGCCGTCTCCCTCTCTCAAAAGAAGTGGACCGACAAAGAGAAAAATTTAAAAAGCTAAACATTAATTAAATTCTACAAGACTGAAAGCAGGAAGGGAAGATAGATGTTTTTACCAAGACCATCATAATTAAATTTTCAGTTGTTTTTAACGGGGTTTTATTCAGGACAACCTATTCCATCAATTCATTTATTGAAATTGATTTCAAGTGCACCAGCCTCCCCTCTTCAGTCTAGTTTTATTTTTGGATACGCATTTTTGAAGAAGGTTATGTTGTTTTTATTGATTGAGAGATTGTTTCTGTTAATTCGTGTAGTTTAACTGCAGTTTTGTTGTTAGATTGAATATCTTTAATATTTATGTCTTTCGTTTTAATCATTACTTCTATAGTTGTATTGTATAGATTTTCATATATATCAGATGATATAAATAATATTCGGTTTTATTATTATTATTATATTATTATTTATAATTGTAAGTCCTAGTTTAATTAGAATTCTTTTAGGATGCGTCCAAAAATGAAATTAGACTCAAGAGGGGAGGCTGGTGCCCTCGAAATCGATTTCTATAAATGAATTGAGTTGAGTTCCTGAATAAAATGCCGTTAAAAACAACTGAAGGTAAAGTAACAACCAAGAAGAAAGAAGAGGAGAATAAATAATAAAATTTGAACAAATTAACACAATGACCGAAATATAACTATAAAAACAATGGAATTTCTGTAGTTTGGTCGTTATCAATCATTTTGGTAGCCTATCCTCAATCTTTTGGATGTCTTTTTGTGTCAAACATGCCGGGTTTTTATATTTCCAGATTTTTAGATATATGTCTACTTTCGTCCATTTTACTTATGTTATTATTGCGTAGTGGTTTTGTGTGAGGTGAATTTCCGTCCTTGTCCCTAAATGACCTTGTATGTGCTTTGTATCGCTCATTTCTGTTCCTGTTAGTTCGTTATATTTTTCTCCCATTTTACATATAAAGTTTTTTTCTAGGGGTTGTCGATGTTTTATCTCAGTCTTCCAATTGTGTTTGTTATCTCCAGTTCAGTTTTTATATCTAATTTGTTAAAATGATTGGTTAGTATTTTTCCCTACGTGTGTGAATGTCCATTTAATGATTTTTTTAGGTTGCATTCTGTTTCTGTATGTCTGTTTTTACCAGTTTGTTGTGAGCTGATTTTTTATTGTCTGTAGTAGCTTTTATACTTTTCATTGATTAGTTGTGCTTTAGACCCGTGTATTTGAGTGCTGCCGTTTTGTCCATTTAAGTGGCTGGTTTGAGTATTTTGAAATGTCAGTTTTCAATAATTTAGACGATTGAGTTTATACTACAACTGTGCTCGGTTTCTGAAGTGAGGAGTTCTGGTCTATTAGTATATGTTGTTGTTGACGTTTACTATCAACGTATTAGGTGCAATGTTGCGTTGGTCGTAATTTCGGTGTATTATTTCTCTTCATTATTTTTTTACTTTTACGAGTATTGCTTAAGTAGTGCCTGGGGGTGTATGTTTGTTCTTTAAAATTAATGTAGTTTTGTTGTACCATTTGTACTATGTTAGACGGTTGATGAAGTACGTTTGGGTTGAAAATGTATCGTGGTGCTTTTTAAGTTTAGTTTCGTAATATTTATATCCATCGCTTCCTTCGGTTTGTTTTTTATGTTGAATGAGATTAGTTTTGTTGTATGTGTGTATTTGGTTTTGTCCAGTTCTTTATGTAGTAAGTGTTGTTTGATGTGTGTTTTGTATGAACAAAGCGTGACGTGACGGATTATGTTTATCCAACAGAAGAGAGCATTTTTTGAGATAACGCATTTATTTCGCCGCGATTTATCTTCTTTTAATCCTGCATCGGGTGTTTTTATGTCAGAAGCGCCAAAATTCGGACTTCACGGTCGTAAACTGGTCATTGTTTAAAAGTAAGGCCCGTTTTTTAAACTCTCATCTATTTTTGTTGCTGACAGTTTCATGTCAGATAAGATTTACGATAAATCTCCCTCGCATCATTTTAACCCTTATCGCAAAATAAACAACGCATTTGCGAAGGCATCACATTATCCGATCGTTTAACAACATTTTGCCATCTTTCCAACGGTGAAAGCGGTCAGCTCTTTATGATTGATCGACACTCGGCGGACGAGTTCGCTAACGATCATTACGGAAAATTAGGCTTTTCCGTTTAATTCACTGTAAAATACTTTTCGTGAAAGGAAGAGCGTTTTCATAATGTAATTCATCCTCATTCAGAGGCGTATCGCATTATATTACATCGGGTGGAATCTCATCCTTACCCTGTTCCATATTCATCCAGGGCCGGCTGCATTGTCAGCGTCAGCCTTATCTAAGAATATGTTCGAATTCTCTCTCTCTCTCTCCCTCCGTAGTTCATCTGGCACGGAAAAACAGTCTGGTTTCTCTGTGGGAGTAGCGGAACTGACGGCCTGCTTAACTCTAATCTACAGACAGCTGAAAACAAGAAGGAGGGAATAATTTCCAACGCCGAATATTGTCCTTAAACACTGCTGAGTCAAATTGTACGAAATTGTTTGTTTAAAAAATGGAGAAATACCACTGATTATCTTTCCTTCCTTTTTACACATGTTCAGTATTAGTAGTATGAAGTTGTACTTGCATACAAGTATAAACAATTGAATAGTCATAACCAAAATGACACAGACTCGCTAAAGATTGAGAGGAGTCTAATGCCCTTGACAGGCATCGGGGGAAGACAAAACAAAATAATCAGGAACGACCAATTTGCAAGTTCTGTTCACCAACTTACAAGGATGTCAACATCGTACTACCCAAACGCACACATGAGCTATAGGGCGTTAAAACGTTCTGCAAGTTAAGTTTCGGGTATGCTTAATTCACAATAAGTTATAAGAAATGCTAGAAATATTTTTAGAACCAGCATCTCCAATATAGTTCTACTGTACCATGATTTTTATACAAACGTTTAACAAAAATTCATGACAAGTTCAAACGGAAGTACGACGAAGTTGTCACATTTGTCAAAAAATAAATAAATGTTCTCTGAGCAGAAAAAATACTCCTCCCATAAGCTAGAATTTTCAGTAAGTTGGTGAAATTATCATAAAATATTATTTATTTATGTTTTTAAAAAAAATTATACTGAAATATATACATTTAATAAACCCAAGTCAGTAAAGGGTTTGTGAACTGTTTAGAGCCTAATTTCAAGAAAAATTTGAGGAATGGCCTGTTTAATTTCTAAATAAATAGTATCCATAAGGTAATAGAAAGTTTTTGACGACATCAACAGATTAAAATATAATTTGTCGTTACGTTGGCTTTTACGGGCATCCAGACCCGCATCTTCTCGCAGTCTTAGGTCAACATAAACCAAATACACAGCGAGACATGGCGGACCGGAATCACCCAAAGGACTTTGAGCAACAATCATCCGGACCAAATACTTCATAAGTAAAATCAGACAGATTTCGAACAAATTTATTTTCAAAATTCCAGCATTTATGACCCAAATTTAAGGAGATTAACGACAAATTTATTTTAATCTTTTTTGTATGTGGCTGTGTGCGAGAATTCCGCGCATGCGCATTCCGTTGTAGGCGTTTTTCCCTAGAACATGATTTTCCATCTGGTATGTGCGACCAAAAGAAAAAAAAATATATTGGTCAATCCTAAAAGATAATTGATAATTAAAGTAAATCACTAAATTACTTGTGCATATCCGACTAAATTAAAAGACGATAAGTAACAAGGGTTTAAGACTACTTGCACCGTGATCAGACAAGAAGCAACAGTTTGGAATTGAAATCTTCAGACTGCATAACTTAAATAAAATACAAAGGCAGTCTTTGAAGAAGTAACTTTCTCTTTGCTTTATGAGAACAATTGAATAATTCGAACTTAAATATGTTAAAAATTCAAATATGTATTTTCAAGGGCTGATGGGAAAAACGCGACTCTTACTTGTCTTTGTCTGTATATCTACCTATCTTTATGATAGTATGGATTTTTTTAACGCATTATTTATTATATAAATTATAATCCTGTCTGAACAAAAAAGTAGGAGTGATGTCGGGCTATGGCCTGGTTGATGCCTCGAGACCTCCAATCGATATGAATTTCCATTCCGTTTTTACATTTCAAACGCCGTAACCTTTGTTATTCATGTTAAATTTGATTTTTAACGAATTGGAGATATTACTTTTTGACCATCTGAACTTCTGAAAATGAATGGTTTGATATCGTGACAAACAGGAAGGGGCGCAGCGTGTAGCCCTGACGGACATGTCAAAACATGAGAAGAGTTGACAAAATGGCGCCAAATGTTTTAAATATGGTAAAATTCCTGTTGTTTATCGTTGAGAATCAATTCACTATATAGTTGAGATAAAAGCAACATAAAACGAGTAAACCGATAATCTTATAGGACATTTTTAAATTTTGACGGAAACAAAAGAGAAAGATTAGTGACAATTTTGATTTGTCACTGTTAAGAGAGAAAAAACAATGTTTGTTTGTGTACTGTAAGGATGTTGTGTTTATCTGGCATTAGGAGTTTTATTATTTTATATCTAATTGTTTAAAATGAGTTTTACCTCCAGTTCTTGTTTGAGCTGAATCTGGTGCCAAGGGTCGACGGGGTCGGTGAGGCCGGCCAGAGGCATATCTCGCGATACGTAGCGATTCCGCTTCCTGTAGAGCCGGAGGTTACCGTCCGTGCACTCCGTCTTGGCTGGTCGGCCTTTTACCGGGGGTGGCGGGCGCGGGCGCGGGCGTCTGGGGCGGCGGCTCCGGCCCGTTTTCCGATCTTTGACAGTTGGAGGCGGTGAGTCCCGAGGCGGCGGCGGGTCCGACGCGACACGGATGAAGGCGAAGCCAGAATGAGAAATCGGGCCGTTCCACCGACCGCCGTTGAGGGCGCCACCGACCGCCCTCTCACAAACATCATCTACCGGCTACTAATACAACTATTCAACCTACAAAACAAAATACAACTTCAGCTACATTTAAACAATAGTTATCACAAATTTTTAAATTGATTCTATCTATTTTGTTTGCATATTATTTTTCACTATAATAATATAATTATTGATGAAATTTCATATTGAAAAATCGGGTATAAGGCCAATTGGAAAAAAAATAAAAAACGAGTATCTACACTGCATGCAGATACATCTGTACATGGATATGTCTTATGATGGCTATTTAAACACACTCGCAAATTATCAGGGAACGCTTATTTATTAATTTGAGGATCGTTTTTAATTGGAAGCTCATTACAACGCACAAGGGGAGAGTTTTGTCAACAGCGATGGAGAGGCACGTACTTGTTCAAACCGTACAGACTGACACAAGCAACATTGAAACTTGTTTTTATTTAGATTATACTTACAGCATTGGAATCAGTACGGCTAGTTGGACGTTGGGTACTGAAATACGAAATATATTCGCGCGTTTTAACGCTTAGCGTCACAAGAATCAATCGCGTCGCGTCATAAGCGTCAATCGTGTCGCGTCACAGATGTCAATCGCGACGCGTCATAAGAATCAATCGCGTCGCGTCATAAGAATCATTCGCGTCGCGTCATAAGCGTCAAAAGCGTCACGTCACATGCGTCAAAAGCGTCAATCGCGTCGCGTCACATGCGTCAAAAGCGGTTAAGCCCTTATTTTGACTTTAAAAACACCTGCCCACCAATTCGTTCTCGCGTAACCTTGGTAAACAGTGCACACACGCACGGCCGTGGTAACATTTTCCTTGTTAAACTTTCGGACTGACCCCCAGCCATAACATATCCATGTCAAAAAAAACACTGTTCCTTTATCATACTTTTGAGGAAAATAAATGCATATCTCCTTCATCAGCTGTTTGAAACGATAATTAATTTTCAAAGATTAGCAAATACAGTCAACCCTCCTATAACGCGGTACTCTCAGAACGCGGTTTCTAACGCGGAGCTGAAATTGCGACAGCCCTCCCATAACGCGGTACTCTTACAGCGCGGTTTCCGTTTAACAGAATCCCATGTCCCTTCCACACAGCCTATGAATGACTCTAGTAACTAGATATTGTATGAGGTTTTAATGTAAGTTTTATTTTCCACGCAAAAGCACAGCCGAGATACATAAACAATCTGTTTATATAAACATGCCAGCTTATCTCATAGCCGTTTACGGCATCGGTTTCAGTCATCTCAGAGATCTTTCACAGTACATACGTTTTGTCGGTGACCAAGTCTTTCTAATCTCGATTTACAAGATGTGAAAAAAGGGCTAAATTTGGCTAAAGAATTAGAACTTCATTTCATTCAAACTGATCGTTCAACGGTGCGCAGCGCAAAGTTTAAAAGAGAGTTAAGAAATTGCTTAGCTCCCTATAGAGAGGTTTTAGTGGAGTTAGAAAAAAAAGCTACGATCGAAAACCAATGTGAAGAAGAACCAAGTGAGGAAGACATTTTGCCCATTAAAAGAAGACGAGTTAGGCGACTCATATCTGACAGCGAGGATGAGTGTTGAAAAATAAATAATTTTACAAAAGTCTTTCTTGTTTTTGTTGGAAAACAGTCTTTTAGTTTAGTTTTTGTTTCATTTTTTTTTTTTTATCAATCCTTATATGAACTTCAATTCAATAAAAATAATTCATAATTTATCTTGTCTTTTGTATTTATTGGTCTCCATATAACGCGGTACGAATGATGTGATTTGTACTAATTCCGAGTTTCTTATAGCGCAGTTTCCATACAACGCGGTAGACGGTTTCCATAGAACACGCTACGAATTAGCCTGGTTTGTACAATTAAATCCGAGTTTCTTATAGCGCGGTTTCCATATAACGCGGTACGCACTCACCGTGTTATAGGAGGGCTGACTGTATAAATATAATTATAATATATTTGGTAGGATAGGGGATGTGGTCCAATGTATGTTCTGGTGTTGAAACTACGTCAAGTTTTTCAATAGTTTGTAAAACGTGCCATTTATTTGTTGATCGGCAATATGGTTTCAAACATTCAGCTACAAAGCAGCTGTCTTAGACCCTACTGAACAATAACCAACTCATTGCTGTGCTCTGTTGAAATCCTCTGAATTGAAAAATATCACAAAGTTTAAAAGGTTGGCTCTGGGAAAATTATAGGTTGCATGCACATACCCGTCCACACTATTTCATGCCCATGTAGAGATCATAGTGCAAACTATTCATCATTTCTGCTGGGGTACTCCAAGGCTCTATTCATGAACCTTTACTCTTTCCATGTTTCTAAATGATCTTCCATTAGTTCTTAACTTCTCCCAATTTCATCTTTATGCTGATGACACCCAAAAAAAAAAAACTTGGAAAGTGCAAGGGATTCGTAATATATCTGTTCCATTTTGTCCCTCTGCGTTTTATAATCATCTATTGGCTTCTTAATGGATAGGCATAGCGCTCTCATTTCATTATAACGTTGTATGTATTTCTCAAAAACGCTTTCCAATCGTGAGATACGCGCTTGGAATAAGGAAGCTTTAGAATTATCATTGCGGGCAAGAAGACCGACATCTAATGTTTGTGTGATGCTTGCAGCTAATTCGTTCAGCTCTGCCTCAAGGTCTTCCATTTCACATTCACTGTCTTGAACGAATTTACGGCCTTTAGGCATAGTGTCGTATGTGATCCGGCCCGGAGGACCAAAAATGTTGGGTATTCAGCGACCTCTAGCGAGATCTATTTTACGACACTTTACCACTCAAATCACTCACCTGATTAGATCTAAAGCTTCTGTATATTAAAAATCCTTAAGATAGCTTTAATAGGCAATAACATGCAAAATAAAATGTTATCTAATAGAAATAACAAATATATTATAAGAAAAAGTTACGGCAAAGGTAAACAAAGTTAGTTTCTTATTGTAATAATAATACTATCAAATAAAATTATAGTATTAGTTTTAAATTAAAAAATTAATTAAACAGAGAAATAACGGAAGAGCTCTTCAATGAATTTAGAAAAGAAAGAAAAAGCTGTTAGAATGAAGATACAAAAAAAATATATATATTTAAATTAAACTAAAAGTTCACTTGTGAGTACGCTTGATGTATAGATGTGATGTGGAGCTGCGGTTGTGCGGGAAAGACTGATGAAGTCGGGTCCACTTATGCTGCGGTGCGAGGAGATGTCAGGCGTGCGGTCGTGGTGAATCAAGACGTAGATCACAACTGATTGTAGTGCGGCGGACGAATAATAATAATAACGCCCGTATTGTTGACAGAACAGAACGTTGAACTATCGAATTCACAATACAAAATAACTTATACAAAATTACTGCTTGAAACATCTAAATTTAAGAAACAGAGCGTATGCTGTCTTCTTGGCGGTTGAGACGCGACTCGTCCAGTTGACTGGGCTTGACCAAAAAAAAATGTGTTTCCATGGTAATGAAAAATACAAAACAATTCACCATAGCAACGGCGACGTATAAACACTGGTGCTCATGGCAACCGAAAGCATAACATTTGGTTCCCATAGCAACGGGAGGCGTAAACATTCGTTCCCCTTGGCAACGAGACCGAACAAACTCTTACTTTAATTAAAACAAAAATAAAATTTAAATTCAGGCGTAAACAATTGCTGTGATTTGAAATTCAAAATTTTGTAATGCATTTTCAAAAAATTGTATTTAATCTTTTCAATTCAATTTCTTCAGTACGGTATGTTCCATTTACCCAGACCTAAACATTCCTGCTCATCCTAATCAACTGTTAAATAATCTTTCCGACTCTTTCTATGAACCTTCTCTGAGGACTAGAACGGCGATAATCCTTCGACCAGATAGTTGGCTGGAACCGTCCCCCAGAAATGAGCGAAATAATGTTGGTACCAAAGGTACACTGCTTGGATTCAGTGAGTCGATTCACTATGTAGCAGTTGAAGGGACTCTGGTGCAGCAGGGTCAGGGCCGTTGTGTGGTGTAGGGACGATGGATACGTCCAGGACCGGGTGTGTGCCTATGTGCCCGTTGGTAGAGGTCCGGGGCCGTGGATACAGTGATTGAATCTGCAGCAATTGAAGGGACTCTGGTGCAGCGGGTCAGGGCCGTTGTTGTTCTGTGGTGTAGGGACAATGGATACTGCCGGGACCGTGTGTGCCCGTTAGTAGAGGTCCGGGGCCGTCGATTGACTCTGCAGCGGTTGAAAGGACTCTGGTGCAACAGTTGGCCAGAAGCAGTCAGCTGTGTTGAAAAGGCGAGTTCGAGGCTAATGCTGCAAGTATCCTTGTTGTCCATTAGTGATAGTTGGGAACTCGTCGGGGAGACGAATCCCAAGACTCAAGGAGTGCAGTGAAATCCCTTCGGAGAGATAAATCTGAAGCCAGTGTGGCAGTGCCCCTGCTTATATACGAAAGGACTCTACTCTGATTGGCTGCAGAGTGGAGGGTGAGACCATTCCAGAACTGGTGGTGGCACCTAGTGAGTACCGTGGTAACTGCAGAAGGCCACCACACACCGGTAATAATCAAGATTTCTCATTTACTAACGTTAGAAAATTTTCATTCAAAAAAGAAAAATTCAAATATAAAAACTGTTTGAAAATTTTTTCTTTGAGGAACTCGTCCCAGACAAAGAGAACTGCACACAAATGCTGTTTAATTCGATGACCAAATCCTAAACTATAAAAATAATATGGAGTAACATTAGGGATATAAGCAGGGAGAGGCAAGACGCATTTTCCTTACATTTCTTCTTATTTTTCTTGCATGACACAATAGCTTTACTCCAGTTGATCAAACATGGTTTTGTATTGAGAGTTCCATCCTGTTTTGTGTAAAATTCAGCATTATTGTCCTCTGGTTTTATAATTTTGTGGTAAATGGTTGAATCTTAATTTTTTTTAGAATCAAGCACCGAAACAAAATTTGTGTAGGAAAGAATAAGGGGAAATTTTAGGTTTACAAAAAAACCTTATTTAATTGCAAATATTTATCTAATTAACTTTCTTTTTAAATTAGTCCTGTTTTCAAAAGAAAAATTGTAAATAAATAAAAAAATAAAACTTATTTTCTTATACATATAAAACTATAAAGGTAGGTACAATAAGTTTCCATTTGAGTATTTTCTATAATAATCTACTTCGGTACATAGGTACAATTCCATTTTCTACATTAAAAAAGATATTTGGATATCTTAAAATTTAATGTTATAAGACAATAAAAATTATATATATATAAAAAATTTAACTATAAAATATTATTTATACACCCTAGGGGTAGATACATCCTATAAGAATTTTTTTAAAGTGTGGTAAGAAATGGTATCAAACATCTACAAATTGGACCTTATTAAAGCTAATGGCACGATGACTGCAAACGAAAAACCATTAAAAGTAACATAAAAATGAACACATTATTACTACAAATTACCATAGTAGAATATTTTTTCATACATCTTAACGAACTACAGAGGCGTTTGATCATAGATAAACAGTTCTTAAATAATACTGACCATTGAATAATTACAGCCGTTTAAACTGGAATGTTTTATTATTTACAGTGTAATTAAAATTAATATTGTACATTTTTATGATAAACTGAGATTATACTTGGCGATATTAATGATAAATAATTGTATAAAGTTGTTCATTGAATTTTGGCTTTATTGACAATGTTGATTTTGTTAAAAGAAAAAAAAAGCCCTTTCAGCACCATATTTATTTGCACAGGAGGTGTATCAGGATTTTGTGAAAAGACGAACTCGTACTATTTTCACTAGTATTATTAAGTATTGAACAGTGCAATATAATCTATAATTTTTAATCACTTTCAATTAATTAAGGTTTTTAGTTGAGATAAAAAACCTTAATTAATTGATCAAGTGGACCACAAAAACTAGTGAATTTATATTTTTAATTTTTATTATAGTTAAAAAAAACGAAGGGCTCATTTTTAAATTTGCGTCGCAGGTGATTTTAGGCTTCTTTTTGATTTGCATAGAGGTAAATTTTAACTTTTAAGGTGGCCATTCATGATCACTCCAAATGAAACTGCGCCGAGCCATATAGTCCCATTTGGCGTGCCTGAAATTTGAGGGGTATTCACGACCACACCACATCTAGTCACTCCGGTCGTCATTTAGTGAATTATTTCCTCAAAATAGAACAATCTCTTGTACTATGCCGCTGTTTGTTTATATATATATATATATAAAGCAAAAACCCGAAGAGGAAATGGTGTATGAAGTGGCTCCTGAATAGAAGCCAAATATCCCCATCAATTTGGTGAAAGAGCTTTCACTTGAACCCGCTGATTGGAAGAACATTTAAGGATGAATTAAACGTCTTATTTATATTTACTCCAGCTTGTTAGCCCCTTGATTAGAAAACAAGACAGTCATGACAGATAGCATCACTACACATGAAAGATTGGCAGCCACATTATGATTTCTCACTACAGGTATGAACTACAAAGAACTTAACTTCTCTACATGATTTCTGCTCAGCGCTTAGGGGTTATGTATTTGTATCCTTTATTTTGAAAATGTCAACCAACTGGTCAAGGGCTGAATTTCTTTTATTTCTATCTACCCAGCCGCCAGTTTAGTTTTGCTATTGACGTGATGTTTGGAACGTCACGAATGTTTTGAGGCCACCTTTTTCAAACGAGTGTCACCAAGTAACCAACGTTTCAGTTTTTGACATGTATAAAGTAGTTCTTGTACTATGCATGGGTATAGCAGTGTAAATAATACTACGTTTGTTTTGAAGTGGATAAGACAACAATAACGGTGGTCTTTCTTTAAATAATGTGGGATTATAGCCGAGTCTTACAGTACTTGGCATTACCTTACGAACCAGCAAGTCTTATATATTTTATATACTTTATAAATGTCTAAAAGATCTAGCAAGTAGTAATGAAAAATATTGATTATGACAGCGCTTCAGACAGTGGAAGAAAAATCATCGCAGCAAAGAAATGGCTTAAAGGTTTTAATATTACCAGTGATGATAAACTAAATATTAATGAAAATGAAAGCCATTCCACAAAAAGTAAAATTTAGATCGCAATCATGAAACCCTTATTGTTATTAATTATTTTGAATGATTCTTTACCGATAAATTTGCATTTCAAATTTGAATGTCACTCAGAGGGGATCAATTATATGATTTTTGTTGACCCCCAAGGAAACTTCATTTGGAACATTAGAACCCAGCCATACTTAAAGATAGCAAAACTAAATAGATTTTCTGCTTTGTTGAACAACTTCAACTGCAAAGGTTTAAGGTTTTTTTTCTTAAATTGAAATAGCGAATAATATAAATCGATAATAAAATATAATAAATACTTAAATATACTCCCTGGCACCAGTTCTTTTTAAATAGATGTAATGGCAACTGAATGTACTAAAATTTACGTTATTAAACCTATACATCTTAACGATTAGAAATTATTAGTGGAATGTTTTTTTTTGTACAGCACTAGGTTACTCAATGTTAAGTGTTTTGAAAGGGTTAGAGGCTTGTCATCGCAGGGGGTCTTGCGTAAGCTTTGGGTATGAACCCGTACTTCCTTGTTTTGGGTGCATACGCCCAAAGCCAGCCATCGACAGTTTGATTGTTTAAATCGGCATAAATCCAGTCGCCGCGCCTTACAGACAGATCATCCGGGGCCTGAGCCTTAAAGAAAAAGCAATATTAAGTAAAACTTTTTTTTGTGTGTGTGTTAACAATTACCTTGTAATCGTATAACATAACAAGCTCCGTTCCATGGTATCGAAGATCATCGTTTGCTGCTGGAGTCATAGGATGAGCGGCACCTTGGGTCGATGCCGCTCCATTTACATTAGCATTTCGAACATTCTGATTGTTGTTCATTTGATTTATGTGACCTAAAAGGAAAATTTTGTTTAAAACATTTCTTTTTCAAAGTTTTTTAAATTATAGTACATACCTTGAATAACATCTGCAGGGTACACGAAGCCACTAGGAACAAAACCTTCTTGCCCATCAGACCTAATAACCCAAAACCAATCTGGATCTTCGCGGTTCAAGACTGTTACAAACTCACCCCTTTCAACACTAACATCATTTTCATCTCTAGCTATAAAAGTATATAAGACTACAAACCGTCCTGAGGGATCCTGCAAACAAAAAATTATAGAGATACTCGTAGTGTTTTTTTTTGTTTATGAAAATAACCTTAAAAAATGGGTGAACGTCTGGTTGTGAGGAAGATGCGCTGTGCAAAGATGCCTGAGAGCTTGTTATATTTTGAGTTTGCTGATTCGTGGATGTTCCAACCTTTTTCCCATAGCTTTCACAATCAGATGTCTCACCACCACCTAAACAACATCAAACTAAAAATCTAGCTTTTTTCGTAAACACGAGCATAAAACACAAGAAAGCACAACAAATAAACAAAGTAAAAATAAATGAATAAATAATTTTTTTTTTAAATTGTCGCCAAATTTGGGAATAAAGCTTTGAGGTTAAAAATCAAACGCCATGCCTCAAATAAAACAGAGATGAGCTGATTTAGAATTTTTAAAGCACACGTAACTGTTTAACACAAGGTTGAATTACTAAAACCATCAAATAAAAGTTCAAAGAATTTATAGAAATTTTCTCTAGCTTACACGAAACTAATTCTTACAATTTGACAAGTATGTTCAAAAGTCTGGTTTAAATTTATACAAATGAGGACTCAAAAATTGTAATATGTACAACATGCACAGTGCACACGAAACATTAAAAAAAACATGCTGCAAAACATAAATAAGACAGAACACACTTCAATTCATTCAAATCATACCTCCATGAGACAACAGAGCTGAGCTCGAGACAACCCTGAAAATTGATATGATGAAAAAACTCCATCTTTTACAAAAATCGAGATTATTTACCCTGATTGATATTAAAATAAAGAGAATAATATTTAAAAATGATTTTACCAGGTCTTGTATCGACTGGAGTTTCGGCATCTCCATCAGCGATGTTACGAGGTAGTTTCTTTTTGACATTGTTCAGGGCTAGCTCTCCGAGTTGAGAGTTGAAAGGCGTACAGTATGAATGTGGTATAAACCCTTCTTGTCGACTCTCAGCAGCGATGACGTACACCCAATCGTTCTCACGGTATAAAATATTAACAACCTGGATCAAAACAATTCGGTTTTTTTTTTTTTTTTGTAATAAGCGTTAAAAACAATTTAGATATTACCTGACCCCTTTTCACTTCTAATTCATCGTCTACGCATGGTGTGAAGTCGTGCAGGACGACCATCTTGCTATCTGGGGAGAGGCCATTTTCCTTTTCAATACCAACCCGTACAAGCGTCTCGATTGAGGCACTACCGGTGATCCGGCCCATCCCTGGCGCCCGCACGACATCTTTCTCCAATTCACCAGTGGAGCCAGCTTGCAATATAAAGTACAATATTAATTTAAAGTGTTTTAAGTAAAAAAAATCATCGAATGGTAATTTTTGAAAGTTTTATTTAACAACCAATTCTGGTATTTCCAACCACAAAAAAAAATAAATAAATAAAATAATACAATAAAAATAAAATTTATTTATAATATGATTAACCATTAATTTTAGGGTGTTGTAAGAGGCACAAACCTGTGTTACACCTGACGTAGGACAGATCAAAAAATTAATTAATTATTAATCAGAGAGAGGGAGAAAGAGTGAGAGGGGGAGAGGGTGATGGAGAGTGAGAGGGAGGGAGATGGAGGGAGGGAGAGAAAGAGAGAGGGAGGGAGGGAGAGANAGAGAGAGAGAGAGAGAGAGAGAGAGAGAGAGAGAGAGAGAGAGAGAGAGAGAGAGAACCAGATAACTAACAGAAGAAATGAATCAATTTACATTAAAGTATTGATGTAATGTAGATTGATTTCTGAAAATGTACTACCAAAATGATCCTATAAGAGTGTGGATAAGTAACTTGGGGATTGGGGATCACTGTGAATGAGTGGTTAAGACGTCTGACATATTGCTAGCAGCTCTGTGTAAAATGAGAATACAATGAAATATTGTATGAGTGCATATGTATTTGCAGGGCAAAGAAGAAAAAAAAAATATATATATAAATTTTAAATGACTGTTGTTCCAGATATCTTGTATCAGAGCTTTTCCTCTCCGAGGAGTAGGAATCTCAGCCTACATAAGCCATCGCACCAACAGAGAACATGTTCCACTGTATTTTTTTCTAATTGCCAATAGATATTGAAGATGCAATAGAGAAAATTGCAGATGAACAGGTTTGCCACTCTGCATAAATGCCTCCAGAGTCTGCTGTGTCCAATTAGCAGACCAACTATTATTCTGGTCCTAACACATCCTAGATTTAGTAGTTCTGCGATGGTCCTATGATGAGCATTTTTGTATGCCTCTTTCCTGCATTCCCATTGAACAGAGGACTTATATTTAATCAGTTGTCAGATGGATCCAAATTTTTGGTATGTCATAAAAGAGCTCAGAGCCAATAGGTTTGTTAATCTTTCAAATCTGCTTATTGACAATATTGACCTAGACTAATCTGCACTTTTTGTTTTTTGTTTGTCACTTTTTTTAAGGCAAAAACTACCAAGAATCATACGACTGCCTTGAAAATATGTCCGGCTTTCTATATAACATTTAAACGTGAAAGTTATATTTTGTTTATTACGCGGGATTCATAGAGGAAGCCAAATAATTTCTCGATGATACTAAAGTTGACACCTAGTATTTATTAGGGCTATTTTTTAGGCATTTATTTATGGCTAGTAGTTAAGCTGTAAAATTACTACAGACCGTTGGCAAAGAGGACATCATTTTCCTATTGTTACAGACAAACACGGCATCAATGCCATCATTCCCTTTTGACCCATCTGTAAGTATCACAGGGGCAATGAAAACAACCCCTACAAATGCATGAAATTCTGCTAAACCTACTTCCACTGTAAATATTTATACAAGGAGAGGCTAGGAAAAGCTCATTTAGGCTCCAGAACAATCAAATTGGATAAGAACTTAACAATTCGGGCATATAACCATAATTATCGAAATCAAATACTCATTCTTAGAAATGGGGACTGACTATCTGATCCTGAAAACATTATTTACATCCTAGTCTACCCTAAAGTCTCAATGGACTATAAAGAAGAGGAAGACCACAAAAGAGCATCAGATACAATGATGTGATATACAGGTGGCTCCAAAACAAACGAAGGAACTGGATCGGGCATTTTCTGTACAAGCCCAAACATGAACAATCAAACTCAGCAGAAATGCCATCAATGCTTGTGCCCTGGGAAATCTTCAAAGAGGTTACACTGGCGCAAAAGTCCTCATAAGTTCTGATAGCCAAGCAGCCATTAGAATGTAAAACAATCATATCAAACTTAGTCAGTGAATGTATCCAACATCTCCAAAACCTGGGGAAACATAACAACCTGATGATATCTTGGGTGCCAGGGCACAGAGGAATTTTGGATAACGAGAAAGCAGACAGACTGGCCAGAGGAGGATCTGCAAGGCCATAGGCCCCGAGTCTATATAGAATCCTCCAGCGCAGAATGGATCCAAACAAAACAAAAGGAGAAGTGGATGAACTATAGCGGCACTAGACATAGTAAACGTATGATGAAACACCCTCACCAAGACTGGCAAAATCACCGCGGCAATTGGAGATGGGTAGACTGAGAGGATTGGTAGGATTACTAACCGATCACTGGCACCTGAGAAAACATCTACATAACATATGCATATTCAACGATGATCCCATCTACAGATTATGTAATGAGGAGGAGGAAACAGCCACCCATATCATCTTCGAATGCGAAGCAAGAACTCAATGGAGATTTAACCTAACATTTGAAAAAAAAATCTTGGGAATGAAATTGTAGCAGCGACAGCTAATGACCTTATACTTCAAAGGAGAAGGATTGATTCTATTGCACTGAACTAAGGAACAAGGAAGGCACAATAAGCCAGAAGGCTGCAGTGCCTGGGGAGTGCAAACCCCGCTTCCTAGTACCCTTATTACGTTACCATACCCATCAATAAATACTAAAGTTGATCCCTTATTTTAACTTAAGAAATTATTCTCTATACACGCAATCTGAGGTGGTTCTTTGGGAAAACGACTCAATGAGAGATCTATGCTAGAGATGGCATTAGCGATGGAGGTATAGGGAATGTGAGCTTTTTTGAATTTTTGGAAATGTAATTGAACGGTTTTCATTAAAAAAAGCTGAAACTAATGGCAAAGTGATGTCCAGTAGTTGTCACATTCCATTCTGCATAAGGAATGGGTTTGGATTATTAATAAATAGTTGTTAATAAGAATTAAGAATAGACATATCAAGAAATTAAAGGAGATACGAAAAAACATTTTTTGGATTTAGCCCAAGGCCGAATTTATGTTTAAAAATCTTGTATTATTAAAATGTAATAATCAATCTTAGCATTTGGACCAGATTATGTAAACGTGTTATTGTTTATTTACATAACGCTGAATCAAGGTATTTTCACACATATGTAAAATGTAAATAATAAATATTTGAATGTAATTTTACCTTTCTTCTTCTTCCCTCTCCTTATCCTCACAGGGCATAGAAATGCCATTTCGGCAGCTACATCTCACTGAATGGTAAATAATTGTAAATTAAGGCCATTACCCCCAAACTTAAAATGATATGTACAAAATCGTTGGAATTCCAATCCCCTGGGAGGAAAGACTGCCTCGGGGCTCGAGTGGCGAGCTGACTGTAACCAGTCGGACGGGTGAGGGGAGATATTCTTTCAACAGGAAACTCCGTGGGAAAAGTAAGAAAATGGAAAATGCAAATACCGTGGAAATGGGTAAAATCGACGGTTGAAAAATAACTTGTTGATCCAGCCGATTTTCCACTGGTTGTCATAAGGTGAAAGCCACATCGCCGTGGCAGTGGAAAGTTGTCTGTGGGTCCGCGGGGTTTCTTCTGTTGACTGTTGACACGAGAGGTTACCACGTGTCGAATTGGACAGTGGTCGAAATGGGCAGGAAAAGGAAAAACGACGAATACGAATACGACCCAGTGCCGAAACATTTAGCCGTCGCGGGACATCTCAGAAATCAGGAAAAGCGGCTGATCGTCGTTCTGGAAAATGCACAGCTAGAAACAGTGAAGGTGGGCTGTCTTTGATGCCTTGTTTAACACCGTTGCGTTACAGTATTTGTTGCACCAGTCAACTAACAAACATGTTTTCTGATCAATACATGCTCACATTTTTCTCAATTGACGAGTTGTTTAACAACATTAATTTGATGCACCAGCTAACTAACAAACATGTTTTCTGATCAATACAGGCCCATATTTATCTCTATTTACTAATATCATCTATAATTTATCTGATATTTTCTTTATATTAGAAGGTCTAGGTTGGTTGTCAAGTTGTTTAACAACATTAATTTCCAGTATTAATTTGATGCACCTGTTAACTAACAAACATGTTTTCTGATCATTACAGGCTCATATTTATCTATTTACTAATATCTATAATTTATCTGATATTTTCTTTATATTAGAAGGTCTAGGTTGGGTGTCATGCTGTTTAGCAACATTAATTTTCAGTATTAATTTGATGCTCCAGTTAACTTCAAACATGTTTTCTGACCAATACATGCTCACATTTTTCTCAATTGACTAATATGATCTATATTTTGTTCTTCTTTCTATATTTGTCTGATATTTTCGTTATATTAGAAGGTCTACAATTTATTTGATATTTTCTTTATATTAGACAGTCTAGGTTGGTTGTCAAGTTGTTTAACAACATTAATTTCCAGTATTAATTTGATGCACCAGTTAACTTCAAACATGTTTTCTGACCAATACAGGCTTATATTTATCTCTTTTTACTAATACCTTCTACAATTTATCTAATATTTTCTTTATATTGGAAGGACTAGGTTGGTTGGCAAGTTGTTTAACAACATTAATTTGATGCACCAGTTAACTTCAAACATGTTTTCTGATCAATACATGCTCACATTTTTCTCAATTGACGAGTTGTTTAACAACATTAATTTCCAGTATTAATTTGATGCACCAGTTAACTTCAAACATGTTTTCTGATCAATAAATGCTCACATTTTTCTCTATTTACTAATATTATCTACAATTCATCTCGTATTTTCTTTATATTAGACGGTCTAGGTTGGTTCCAGCCTCCTCAGTAAGTCGTAGTTACTGTGAGTAGGAACTATCGTTTTAAAAAGGATTGAACACCGCACTCACTCCATCATTCTTCAGGCCTAGGTTGGTTGGCAAGTTGTTTAACAACATTAATTTGATGCACCAGTTAACTTCAAACATGTTTTCTGATCAATACATGCTCACATTTTTCTCAATTGACGAGTTGTTTAACAACATTAATTTCCAGTATTAATTTGATGCACCAGTTAACTTCAAACATGTTTTCTGACCAATACAGGCTTATATTTATCTCTTTTTACTAATACCTTCTACAATTTATCTAATATTTTCTTTATATTGGAAGGACTAGGTTGGTTGTCAAGTTCGTTGTCACTATTAAGTTCCTGTATTAATCTGATGCATCAGTTAATTTCCAAACATGTTTTCTGATTAACACATGCTCATATTTTTCTCTATTTACTAATATAATCTGCAGTTTATATATTTTTTTATATTGGAAAGTCTAGGTTGGTCGTCAAGTTCTGTAACTCATGTTCCAGTATTAATTTGTTGTGCCAGTTACTAACAAACATGCTTTCTCATCAATACTGGCTCACATTTTTTTCTCTATGTGCTAATATAATCTGCAATTTATATATTTTCTTTATATTAAAAGGTATTGGCAAGTTCTTTAACACCATTAGATTCTAGTGCGAACTTTTTGAGCCAACTAAAACGTTTTTTTCTCTCTTCTTTTTCAATACTGTCCCTTATATTTTCTGTTCACGAATAACATTTACAAATTATCTCATTCACTTTATATTGGAAACTGTGTAAATTGTCATGTTTTTGAACACTGTATGTTGTACAAGGATGAAGTATCCTATTAAATATGCTTTTTCTTCAACCCATGGATTCTCTATCTGCTAAGCTGCCATGCGTATCTTTATTCGAACTAATTCACCTGGTTTTTCACCCTCATATCTCTGTTTCCTTTTAAGGTGAGCTTTTGAAATTTGAAACATAAATTAAGCTTAAGTCGTTTAGGACATTGTAAAAATTTGAGAATTTAATAGTAATCCTTATCGAAAATGGAAGAATTTCACAATTTGAATTTTTATTACTGACTGACTCACTGATCATCAAAATTGTAAGGTATTTCCCAAATTCGGTTAAAAGTATATTTTATTTCCATTTTATTGCTTCTTCAGGTTCTAACAACGTACTGACTTACCGTTGGAAAGAGAAATTGATTCCACAAGTTGCCTAGTATGAAACCAGCTATCTTCACACAGCAGTCAACTAGTTGATTTGATTTCATTTTTCTAGGTTGTCACAAAAAGTCCTTGCACATAACTGCTGAAAACCTTTTTATAAAAGCATTTTTGTCATATTTATGATTTGAAAATTTTTATCCTATGAAATACAAGATTTATAATAAAGTTTTTTTCCAGACTGGGCATGGATTTGAACTTCTAAACAGCGATGATCATGTTGGCATACTTAGTAAAAACGACCGAGCACCTGGAGACTGCAGACCTGACATAGTGCACCAATGTCTGTTAATGCTCATGGACAGTCCTCTGAATCGGGCCGGGTTATTACAAGTATAAATATTTTTGTTTTCCTATCAACATACATATATTGAATACTAATAAAATATGTTAAAATGTTTTAGGTGTACGTTCACACAGAAAAAAATGTCCTAATTGAAATCAACCCCCAAACAAGGATCCCTCGGACTTTTAAAAGATTCGCTGGACTGATGGGTAATAATTCAATAAGCAACTGTTCCATGTGTGTTTTATATTGACTTTTACAGTCCAGCTCCTACACAAATTCAACATCAGGACGTCTAAAGGAGGCATGAAGCTGTTAAAAGTCATCAAAAACCCCGTCACAGAACATTTGCCAGTTGGTTGTAAAAAAATAGGCACTTCCTTTTCATCGAAGAAGGTAGTTCACCCGAGAAGTCTAGTTCCCCATGATGAACCGCTTACCATCGTAGTCGGCGCAAAGGCTCATGGACAGGCAAATAAATACAATATTTTATTAATGAATTTAAAGTTTATTTTCAATATTTTGAATTTCAGGCTTCGCCGGAATACATAGAAGACACTATATCGATTAGCAACTATCCTCTATCAGCTGCTCTGACTTGCACCAAACTCTGTTCAGCATTTGAAGAAGTTTGGAACGTCACATAACATTTTTAGTTTTAATTTTTCCACTGTAAATTATATAATTTTTGTGTATATATGATTTTAAAATTTTGTAATAAAACCAATGTTTTATTTTAATGTTAGAAAATAAACAAAAAATTTGTTTAATTTTTTTTTCTAAATTACAACTCATTTAAATATTTGTCATCACCAAAGAATTTTTATATCAAACTGTGACCATACGCCTATGTACAAAATTGAACTTATACTAATCGCAGAAAGTCTAAGTCTAAATTTAATTTAATTTTCATAAATTTAATAAATGTTTATAAGTCAATTATTCATTTATTTTGAACAATTGGGTAAAATATATTTTTTTGCCTTGTATGGCAATTGCTCTGATATGGTCCGTAGCTGGAGGTTTTAACCATGGTTTCCCCGAGTCTTCAAAGCACTTGTTTATCAGTTTAGTTTCGTGCTTATTGACCTGCTTTTATTAATGTAAGTATTGCTTTTTTTGGTCAATTTTCCCTTATACAACCCCGATTAATTGGGTTTTAAGAGAATAACGCGTTAAATTAAAAAATAAAAGGTCACGCACGAATACCCGTTGACTTGGCTTATCACGTGTTAAGTCAGTAATGACCAAATTGGACGAATTTATTATGAACCATTTTAAAACCACGTAAAAAATTGTGCTTACAGAAAGGTTTTGGGGCGATATTCTAACTACAAACCTTTTGTTTGATCTTTATTTAATACTAAAATGATAGTAAATAAACAATAATTATATAATACTTATTGTATAAAAAAAAATTAGTTTGATTTCTGATTCTGCATATGTTTTAATGTAAAGAATTCCATGTTTCATCAATTTAAATTTTTTTTATCTACAAGGTTTTTCTCTGATATGACACTTTTCCTTTTATCTTTTGTCTGGAACCCTTTTGCTAACATTTAGAACAAATAATTTACATAAAATGCATTTACAAACTAGATTTGTTCAAATTAGTCTTACATATATGTCTACGGAAAGGGAAATTAATTATTTTATTTGTATTATATTGAATTAGTTGTGAATATCCTCGTCTCACTTCACTAAAATTCTCTTGAATAACTTTACCTTCTGTATTTATTTTGTTTATTATGTATTTAGCCTGTTTTATGAATTCACTACACATTTTCCAGTAGGTACTCCACTTGAAGCTCAGATTGACTCTGTCGTGGCTATCCCATGTCCCCAGTTCTACTTCAAAGCATCTTTAGTGTCTTCTGCCCTGTTCTTTTCTTAATGTACTCGTATAATCTTCTTAAGTATGTCTTTTGGTATAATTTGCATTTTTTTAATGACGTCATGTAAAAGCACGTGATTGATTGTGCTTCTATGTTTCAGAATTGAGTGTGTTGTTTTCGTTGGAGTACTAAATTAAAGAAACAGCTTAATTTTTTAAATATATTACATTTAAATGATTATATGATTTATTTTACCATGCAAAGTTAGATCTCGGACGTAAGGAGACGTCCTAAGAGGACCTCTTAATTTATAGAGAGGGGAAATATACAAGAGAGGAAAAGAGAGAGATAGTTGTGTTTATAGAAAGGTGGGTAATTAGATAGAAAAGGGAGTTAAATGGGTCATATAGATACATACATAGAGAGAGAGAGAGAGAGAGAGGGATAGAGGGGGAGGAGAGAGGGAGGGAGAGAGAGAAGAGAGAGAGAGAGCTGTGTAAGTACATAGATAGAGAGAGAGAGGGATAGAGTGATGGGTACAGAGATAGAGAGAGAGAGAGAGCGGGAGATGGTTTACATGGGTAGATAGATAGAGAGATAGAAAAAGAGAGAAAGGGAGTTCGGAGGCTAGGTAGATAGATAAAGAGAGAGAGGGAGAGGAGAAGAGAGAGATAGAGAGCGATATATAGATAGATATTGCTTTCTTCCAACTAACTACTCCGGAGTCAGGTTGCTTGAAGTGCAGCCTTATACGGGTGATAAACTCAATCTAAATCTAATAAATTATGAAGCCGATGAACCACCAATTAAATGAAATATATTTTTCAAAACTTATTGTGTTGCTTTAATCTTGTCCGCCAGGTTTTTTATACTTCTTCTACTTCCAATAAATACTCTTTTTAGTAGTACTATGGTCACAGTATCTATCTGACCATTTCCTGACCCAGAAAGAACTGATCATAACGGAGGATTTTTAATTATGAACTCATTTAAATTTATTTTTCATTAATCTATTTATGTTTAGTGGTATAATTGACAATATTATTTAATTTATTATTCTTTTTATGTAAGGTGTTGGTTGAGATGGAAAAGCTAGTGTCACGAGCGGGATTCGAACCCACGACCTTCGGCTCAATACGCCGTTGCTCTAACCACTTGAGCGCTATCGTGACTTCGATCTACCCGGACACCAACTCCGCAACCAAGTGGTGAGAGCAGCGGCGTATTGAGCTGAAGGTCGTGCGTTCGAATCCCGCTCGTGCCATTAGCTTTTTCATCTCAACCAAGACCTTACATTATTATTTTTCATTGTTGTATTACTTTTATTGATCTTTGAGATTTATGTTTAGTATATCTTATACTGATCAATTTTTTTTTTTTTTTGTTCTAGGTAAGTTTCAATCTACCTTGAATCCAAATGCATATCTTCGAATTGTATTTTTGGTAATAGACTTTATGATATAGCATAATCAGCTTATTTTTTAAATGTAATTATGAATTTATTGAAGCTTTGTAATAAGGAAAAATGTTTCGAATCTTCAAAGCGATTTTTTTCCATTGGTAAAAAGTTGTTTTCAAATGGCGAAGTCGATAGTGGTAGGAGAGACGTCTTGGACGACTTTGAGTCCACTGTCGAAAATCTTGTTCCAAGGAATCAGAGGATAACCGGAACTCCTCATCAGGTTTTTATAATCCAGCCTTACATCAAATGGGGCCCGCAGAAGTTGAGAAACACCACACCGGAGCTGCAACTGGAGGAAAGCGTTGCGCTCGTCAAGACGCTTCCCGGCTGGAAAGTCGTTGATACGAAAATCATGTCAACCATAAGTTTCGATAAAAAAGCCTTTTTCAATTCTGGCAATCTTACCATGCTCTCACAATTGGTGAACAAACGAAAAGAGATCACGGCCGTATTTATCAACGTCAAGCACCTTCAGCTGCACCAACACTTAGCTTTGGAAAACACCTTTGGCATTCCTGTTTTCGACAGGTATGGTATCGTTATCAATATATTCAAAAGGCATGCTAAAACTAAAGAAGCCAAGTTGCAAGTCGCTTTAGCCCAGTTACCTTATTTTTGGTCGAGGATTAAAGGGATTCACAACGAGGAAGAGTCGTTCACGCCGAACGTCGGCATCGGGTCAGAGACCTTCCAGCATATACGCCTCCGTTTGTTGAAAGAGCAAGAGAGTAAAATCAAAAAAGAACTTTCAACTTTGGCCAAAAGCAGAGTTATTCTCAGGAGCAAAAGGAAAGAGATGAAATTACCGACAGTCGCGATTGTCGGGTATACAAACGCCGGTAAAACTTCACTTATAAAATGCCTCACTGAGAGCGAGTCTTTAGAACCGGAGGACAAGCTCTTCGCCACTCTTGACGTGACCGTCCACGAAGGAATGCTTGACAACAGGCTGAAAGTGCTGTACGTCGATACGATCGGTTTCATATCTGACGTGCCGTCGAACCTAATCGAACCGTTCGTCGTGACTTTGGAAGACGCCGTTCAAGCCGACCTCATCGTCCACGTCCAAGACGTGAGCCATCCTGACAGAAAAGCGCAATACGATGAGGTCGTACGGACCATAAATAGCCTCGACGTTTCGGAAAAAGTCATGAACAATATCATCACAGTCTGCAATAAATGCGACAGAGTTGACGACATCGATGCTATCAGTGATGATAGCGTGATTTACACGTCTTGCAAGGACGGAACCGGATTGGACGAGCTTAAAGCTACAATCGAAAGGAGATTATTCGCGACTACTGATTTGGCTAAGATGAAAATCCGGGTTTCATCCGGTAGCGAAGAATATCATTGGCTGTTCAAAGAAGCCGCAGTGTCGGACGTAGTCCCGGATGAGAAAGATCAACAATTTGTCCTTTTGACTGTAACCATACACAAAGTTAAATTAGCTAAATTCAAACATAAATTTATCAAGCAGAAAAATTAATTTGTTTGAAAAACTATATTGTATATAAATGTTTATTTATAAGTGATAATTTTCTCTTATTATTTTTATTATTTCCTAAATCTGCTTCTAAGTGAAAAATCTTCACTTTCTATTGATCGAAAAAAGCTTAGATTTAAGTACTTAATAAATGATAAATACAAGTACCTTACTGTCTGATTTATCTGAAAAGACTTTAATCACATGTCAGAACTACAACAATAAGGGGTGTTTTCCTCCCCTAAATATACCATATTTTGTTTCACAGGTCATCGTCATACATGCCATGATTCAATGCGTCGTTATTTTAAGCGGCGAACATTTGTCAAATTGTATAATTTTCTAAGGACTTTATTTTCAAATTGACCGGAATGTAGAATAATCAGATGTCACTATTTAAAGGATGTAAGCAGGGAGAGGCAAGAGACGCCGATCTTCCATTTCAGCAAATTTAGCTATTTCAAACGCGAACGATGTGCCGAAGCGTACACAAAAATTAATTTACCTAAACATAAGATTACAAATTTTTACCTGTTTTCCTCCTCTAAATATACCATATTTTGTTTCACAGGGTGATACATGATCGTCATATATGCCATGATTCATTTCGTCGCTATTTTTTTCGTCATAAGCGAACATTTCGATTTGTCAAATTGTATAATTTTCTAAGGACCTCATTTTCAAATTGACCGGAAAATAGTATAATAAGTCACTTCTTCTGGGATGTAAACAGGTAGAGGCAAGACGTCGGCTTACATTTTACAAGCATCATTGGTTTATTGTACTGCTTTATTTTCTGTTCATCAGTGAGGAGTGTTTTGCTTTTTATGTACTACAAAAGTCGTGCATGAATTTGTATAAAACAGGAATTTCACACTTCAAAAAAATTTCATTTAATAGTTTTAATTTGTTGACGATTTTTAAGGTCTTAAGAAAGCTTTTCGCACTTTTGCATAATCTGCTAGTACCCACTGTAGACTCATAAGATATACCAATAGTTGGCCTGACGTCAGGGTTATAAGCAGGGAGAAGCAAGACGTAGATTCCAATTTTACAAACATTAAAGGAAGAAGGGTTGTGTTGCATTGTTTTATTTCCTGTTCATCAGTGTGGGGTTATCTTGCTTTGCCCAACCAAAGTAATGTTGCTTAATCTAAGGAATGTCACACTTGAAAATATAAACATTTAATAGTTTAAATTTGGCGACGATTTTGGAAGGTTCTGTGACAAAAGCTTTTTCACTCTTGCTGGTAGTTCTGATTGTAGATGGAAAAAGCCAATAGCTGACTCGAAATCAGGGTCATAAGCAGGGAGTGGGAACATTTTTACTCTATCCAGATCTATTTTGCCTGTTCTACTAAGATAAAATTTGTGTGCTTAAAAATAGTACCTTTGCGAATTATGGTATTTGTGCATTAAATAGACATTATATTACGCGACGTAGGGGATATAAGCAGGAGTGGTAAGACTTTGCCTCTAGAAAGCCATTTCAAGTTTTGCCTGTATTTCTACAAGAGTCTAATTGCTTGCCTTGTACGTAAAAAACAGGACAGTTACGAATTGTCGTAGTTTTCAAACTATTGTTCATGAAATAGCCCAATATATTTCGAGACATTGGAAATAAGCAGGGAGTGGCGAAACTTTCAGGTCTGTAAATTTCGCCTGTACTTCTATTAGAGTCTAAATACTTACCTTGTGCTTAAAAACGGTATAATTATTCATTGAAGTTTTAGCGCCAGTGTTCATGAAATAGTCCAATATAATAGGAATATAAGCAGGGAGTGGCAAAACACTTCTCAATTCTGTCAGTTCATCGTTATCGCCCGATGTTTAAGAGGGTTGTCTAGTTTACGCCATTGATCAAAATGGGATATATTCGAGTCAAAGACGAGTTGATAAGTCAATTAGGTCGAGTTCTACCACCTGAAAATATCTGAAATATAATTAGGGCAACATTGACAGGAACGGTTAGGATGGAATTTTCGTTGAATATTCAAGACAAAAACTTTTCTAATTTAGGAGATTAAACATCAAATCCCAGATATTTTCATATCAGCTAGGCTACAGAGTTGAATGTATACAATGGTATAAGGTATTGACGTACGTATTGATGTACGTTGCCTGGCAGGAACCGTTTTTTTTTTTTTTTTTGCCTCATCGTCGGTTAATAGATCTTGAAGGTAGCTAATAATAAAAGAGGTGGTACAAAAGGAAGAAGAAAGTATTAATCTCGCTACAGATTCTTTATTGTAGCAAATTAATTAAACATAAATATCAAAAATTCAAATAAAGTATAAAAGAAGTGTTTAGCAGGCAAAACATCACATTGTTTAATTTACGTTTACTGACAGCAGAGATCACATTAACTGTGATAATTCTTTTTAAACGCTAAACACAAGATTTCTCATCGTTGTCTGATATAGTCTTATTTGCGAGGGAAAAGGAACATCGGCTTATTGCTGATAGGTCTGATAGAGGACGGTGGAAGGCTGCTGGTAGCCGACGGAAGCCAGTTTGGACTTGTCCAAGAAGGGCTGTCCTCCAGTGTAAGCAGCGACCTGTCGGAATTGCTGGGCCTGGCTGCCAGCATAGGCTTGGGTGTGTTCAGGCCTGAGGACGACCTGCGGCCTCTGGACGGGCTGAGACGCCTGGAGGTACTGCTGCGTCTGCTGCTTCCTCGCGACGAGGTTTTGCTGTCCGTACTGGGACGGGAACTGCTCATGCAACAGCTGAGGGGTCGGCACTTTCACTTTGATATCAGTCGGTTCCCTCACGACGTCAGCTTTGAATCCCTACAAATCCAAAAATCACAAGTTTTATATTTGATTAATTATATTTGTTTGAAATTTGGTCAACGCAATCTTATCAACACACTCCAATCCTATCTTAGCAACAGGAGCAATCCAACGACACCTAAACCTCATTACCGATTGGTGCAATCTGTGGCGGATCAGGTTAAACGAACAAAAAGCCAACAAGTTACGCTCAAACATCAAACCTGTCCACCAGTGCACATTTACAGCAAGATAATACCACCATCGAACCAAGTCCGCTACCTTGGGCTTTACTTACATAGTAGACTTCATGGAACCCACATACAAGAGTAAAACGGCAAGAAATTAACAAAAGATATGGAATACTCAGACCTCTACTTGGACCAAAATCAACATTAAGCATACATAAACTAACCGCTTACGAAACATAAATCAGACCTATTTGAACCTTCGGAGTCGAACTGTGGGGCTCGGCCAAATCGTCCAATGCAGTACCAGTATCTTCAATGCTCTCTTCTAGGTCACCAATCAAACGATCCATAAAGATCTTAAAATCCCTTTCGTGAAAGATCTTAAATGATCACGCTTCTTCAATTTCCACTCTAAACTATCCCTCCACCCCACCCACTAGCTCTAACTCTTTTCTCAACGTCTCATCCTTACAACCCTCCGCGCCGGTGGGCTCGTGACCTATCTAATCAACCTAATTAAATAAAAGAGAGTTCCAACACTGGTTGGTTTTCTCGCAACTGCCTCCTGGTCTGACAGATCTGTCAGATTTGTTTATAACTCAACTATTTGCTCAATGTATATTTTGTACTGATAGCAATAAATAGAATAACTAATAAACTAGAAAAAGGAATTTGGTCTTACCTCGAGCGGATCGGCCGTGTAGGTGACCGTCCTGATGTAACCGTCTGAATCGACGACGCTGTAACTGCCGGAGATCTTATCGCCTTCCCTCTGCTCCTTCCTTTTCTGGTAGTTTGTGAATTCATCGTCTTTGATGTCGAACCCGAACTGGTACTGGGGATTCGGCTGAAAAAAAGCAACAATCAATGGTGAGGGAGAAATTCCCGTCCGAGGGAAAGTTTTGTGACCCGTTCGTCCAGACCGGAAATTTGGTTTCATCGAACCTCCCCCGGGCTGGTTTTTTAAATATGCTTTCAAGAATGAAAATCTCTCGGTCCTGAGTGGCTATGTAACGAACGGGTCCGTTCACCCGGGGTCCGAACTTTCACTCAAACCTTGATTAATAGGTACCGGAAGCGATTGGGCCCCTATTATACAATCTGGGTTTTGCCCTACGAATTAATTTTGATTTCAGATGGTACAAATTATATAGCGAAACCGAAGGTGTACTTCGCTTTTCCCTTTTTTCGTTCTAGTGGAAGCGAAATGTATTATAACTACGAAAAAACGCGATGGTTTATACCAAAATCACATAATATTGTCATCAGTCCTCTTTCAAATTCACCATAACTTTACAACAACAATAAAATTATGAAGCTTCAAACAAATCGATTGCAACTCTGTTTTTAAAATTTCTGACAAAAGTATGAACAAAAACCACCGGTCATTCTCACATTAGTGAAGAATCATTGGTTTGCAGAAGCATTTTTATAGTTTACCGACAGATAAAAATGTGCATAAAACGTTTTCTGTTCGGATGATGCACCTGAATTCTGTTGATCATTATTGGCCATTGTAATAGTAGTTATCTATGGAATGAATTAATTTCATTGTATACTTACATCATAGTCTTCGGGTTCTTGAGCTACCTGCTGTCCGACAACGGGCCTCGCGAGTTTCTTGACGCCTTGTGATTGTGGCTGGGGTTGATAATACTGCGGCTGGTAATACTGCTGTTGCTGCTGTTCGGCCGCCTGGGGCTGATAATACTGCTTGCCGGCGACTTGATACACCTGGGGCTGGGCTTTGGGCTGGAACTGGTAGACCTGGTCCTTAGGCTGGGGCTGGTAAACAGCCTTGGCCTGTGGCTGCAGGACGTACGCCTGCCTTCTCGCCGTGGCGCCTACTGGGAGAGAGCCTGCCGTCTGCTGTCTGGCGACGTACTGAGCAAGTTCTTCCTGTGTCACCGGGTACGCCTGGCAGCAACCGATAACGGCCACCGCTAATATCATAAACTAAAAAAGAATAAATCCGGCGATAACTCTCTTTTCAATCATTTCAGTTTCACTCTTGAAAACAAATTACGTGACTTGGAATCCAATCAAATTGCACGGATCTGAATGCTTAAGGTTAGATATAATGGAAACTCGGACCTCGGTACGTTCCGCCAGGTACGTGAGTTCGGTTTAATAACTTGAGCGTATTGAGATGAACCATCTCTGATTACTGAGACGTGAGTGACATCTTCGTATTCATTTCCCTGAAAGTACACGGGAGAGTTTCTTTGTTCCGGTTTTTGAGTGAAAGAAGGAAACGTAAATGTACGCATGGTTTATGAGCAACTCACACCATTGACTCAAGACACGCGGGTGTACGCGAACGAACATACGTGTGTACAGATTGAGTAATTAGGGATGATTAGGAAGGATCCCAAACTTTAAATTGATAAACTATCGTGAATTTTGACTGGGCAGTTAAAAGTGTACACAATATTGTCTTTTTAAGGAAAGATCCTTACTTTGCATTATATTGCAATTTTACACCTTCGAAAAACCATGTCAATTTATTTTTCTGCTAATTTAAGCTTTTTTAAGTTATAGCGTATCAGTGGAGATTGGTGACTAGCCGTTTTTCTCAGGCGTGAATTAAAAAAAAAAAAAAACTATAAACATCATTTTTTTCTACTTCCGGTACAACTTTTGATTTATGCAGGGTATCTCGGTCAAAAATAGGCTCTATGTAAAAGTTTTAAAGAACAAAATCAAATTTACCTCTTTACCTCGGTCCTACTGACGAAGTAGGATTTTGGTTACAATTTGTTTTTTGTTCGATTTCCGGTAATAGTTGGATGTATACAAGGTGCTGAAGCCAAAAATGCCCTTATCCTAAAGTTTAAAGGAGAAAAACCTTCTCTATCCCTTTACTTCGGTCCTACCATCGAAAACAAAAAGAAAAAAGCTTTTGGTTCCTTTTTTCTTTTTCTTGTACTAAATTTGATCTGTACAGTCTACAGGGTACAGCAGCCAAAAATAGGCACTATGTAAAAATCTTAAAGAAAAAACTTTTTTTTCCTTGCTTACTTCGGACCTACTAAAGAAAACAAGATGGGTTTTTGGTTACATTTTTTCTTGTTATATTTCCGATACTAATTTTGATGTATAGAGTGTACCACAGCCAAAAATAGGCACTACGTAAATGTTTTAAAATAAAGGCCTACTTTTTCCCTCTTTACTGCGTTATTTCAGTGCTACGGACGAAAGAAAGTTGTTCGTTCCTTTTTTGTGATCTTTTTCTATTTCTTATAATGGTTTTGATTTATACAAAGTGCTGCCAAAAATAAGTATATACTGTGTAAAAGTTAAAAAAAAACTACTTTTACCTCTCTATTTCGGTCCTACCGATGAAAAAACAACTTTTGGTTCATTTTTTTTTCTTTTGGTTTTGATCTATACAGTCTATACAGAGTCCCGCAGCCAAAAATAGGCATTATGTAAAAGTTTTAAAATAAAGGCCTACTTTTTACCTCTTTACTTCGTTAATTCGGTCCTACCGACAAAAAAAGGCTTTTCGTTCCTTTTTTTCCCCTATTTGTTTTAATGGTTTTGATTTATACAAAGTACTGTAACCAAAGATAGGCATGTACTATGTAAAAGTTTTACAAAAAAGAACTTACTTTTACTTCTCTAGTTCGGACCAACCGATGGAAAAATAAAACTGTTTTCTGGTACTGTTTTGATCTATACAGTCTATACAGAGTCCCGCTGCCAAAATTAGCCACTAGGCAAAATTTTTAGGGAGAAAATACCTTTTACCTCTTTACTTCGGTAGAAAACAAAATGAGTTTTTTGGTATTTTTTAAATTTCTTGTACTAATTTTGAATTACTCAGGGTACCTCGTCCAAAAAAAGTAAAAGTTTTAAAATGAAAATCCTTCTTTTTAGCCCTTTACAATACCGACCGAAGAAAACAAGAAAGAATTTTGGTTCAAAAAAATTCAAGTTATATCATTGAAAATTGGCGTACCTGTTATTTTTCGACTTAACTAAGTTCAGAATTTAAAAAAAGCGTGCCTTTTGCTTTTAACTCAGGTTTTGATCTGTACAGATTACTACAGTTGAAAATATACACAAATTGAATAGATAAGACCACTTTTTAGGCAATAGTTCGAATATAGTATCGAAAAAATTTGTTATTTTAGTCAAAACGTGCAATTGAATGGATTTGGATATTTTTACGGAAAAATAAAGCCAGACGTAAGAACAAATAAAAGTATTCAACTTAATAAATATGTTTTTCCGAGTAGCACATATTTTATTTTTGCTTTAGATTGTACGCTGTAAATGTTAAATGTTACGACTGAGATTTAAAGTCAGTTGCTCGGATACGACCAGATTTATACATTTTTCAGTAAGTTCCTTCTTGTAGTTATTAATGAAGCCGACGGTTTTATTGATAAAATAATATGAGACCGTCCTTTTAAGGCCCTTTCGGGTCTTGCTTGGACTTTGTCCTCCTGGAACTCGACCTAATCCACCCAAAGTACTCCATAGCCTTGACACAAGTCAATGTTGTCATGGTGGCAAAAATTACTTTCGATTAAATCTGATACAATGCATAGAATTACCAAATTAATCCGCTTGCTTTTGTGCACATTCAGTCATGTTTGACCTTCTACCTGTTTTTTCTCCCATGGCTACTTTAACCTTTTGCGCACATGTATCGGTGATCGATGGTAATGTCTTGGTAGGAAAAGTATGGACTATTTTTCTCCCATTGTACCCTCCTGCTATTTCACTTTGATCAATGTTTTTCTGGCTATTCTACATGAATTTATTAAAAAATAAAATGGTAAAAACTATTTTTTTTTTATTAATTGCCGAGTTGTAATAGTATTGTAAGTAGAATTTGCATAAGTACTTTTGGCAGTATTATTATACAATGGTGTACTGATAACCAAATTTGCATTGCTCTTGTTCTTTTTTATTGCAGACGATAATTGCTGGACGATTCAGCAAGTCGCAATCCTTCTAGCTCGAACCTTCAATTATTTCATTATGTAAAGTTCAAAAGAATAGAGAAAGTCCCTAGAAAATAAGCTCTCTAGGGAATCAGATTTGCGAAATTTTTGAAATAAGACCACAGAAAGTGGGTCGTCGTTGGTTGTAGTGAGAGGACCAATTAAAAAAAAAAAAAAATCAAATTTTATAAGTAATACAGGTAATTCATATTTAATATTTAAAGTTTGCCAGCTTGGAATTAATTTATAACTAAAAACCCATAATAATTAGTTTTTTTAAAGCACCTTATGTTCCATATCAACCCCTTAAAACATCAAAATAACTAACTTAATTTTAACTAAACATAGAATATCCCTTATATTAACTATAATAGACAAAAGCATTGACAGACTTTAACGGCAAATATATAAAACTCCCTAGCTATTCTTCTTATTAAAAAAAAATCTTTGTTTAACATTGGACTATGATGAATAGCAGAATTTATCGAAATATCCTTCAACTCTCACTTGGCTCGGAGTAAATTCTCCGTCGGAATCCAAAGTAAAAGCAAACTCACCTTAATCATAATCAGAAATAATGGACACGGATAGCATGCGTCGATCCGGACAGCCTGGCGATGGCGGAATGTGAACGTCCGCCTTCAGGAGTCACTTATATAGCTTCAGAGCCCTCTCTTTTTCCCTCTGCCCCTCGAGATGTCCTCTCCGGTGGAAGAAATGGGAAAGGGGCCGATACGGCTAAGAGAAGAGAAATGTGTAACAACTGATCGGTCATTGCGTCTAATAGGATCAGACCGTCCTTGATTCTGCCATGGGATCCTTTGAAAACCTGACAGTACTGAGAGGTGTTAAGAAAATTATTAATTTATTGCTGACATAATTTATACCAAATACTTTGTTGTGAAATGGCTTCATTTTTGTTAAATAGTTTATACCCGAGCAACTGTGTACTAAACTTGTTCTTTTATTATGTATTTTAGATGAAATTCTACTGATTTCAGCACCACAGGACAGGGTTATTTGAGGCTCATTTTTTTAACTTATTTTATAAGAAGAAAACAAAACAACACGCGTAACTTGAAAAGGAAACAGTCAACTGAAATGTTCACACTTTCAAGTCAGGTTTCAACTTGAACGGAATGACTCGTGATTTGAAGTCTCGACTTGAACGACAAAAGTTTGATGGGTTCGAATTCTTGTTGATCAACTGAAAAGTGGAACGATAAGTTGATTCATGAGAACGCACCTAACGAATAGAATTGACTATGTCGCTTCTAGGATCTTGAACTACTACTTGTTGCTATACCAGGTCAGCGCAATGATGAACCTATAATTTTTGGCTAATAGGGATTGCCTATGGTAAAAAATGTAATGTGATCGTTACTAATTATTTTTCTCTGCCTATCCTCCCTGGTTTGGCATAAGACGTGTATGAGCTTCTCGCCATTATCGCATTTCAAACGTCAAAATCGTTATACTTGAGCTGCTATATTGGATCTGCGTCAATTTTGTCATTGCCGATAATTTTGGTCATCCTATTATCTTACTGGTATGGTCTGTCAGGAGCAAATTTTGTCTTCTCGCCATTTTCAGATCGTACAAGGCAATATACTGCACTTACGCTACAAATTGCTGCTATATCAAGTCTGCGGGGTGTTGACCTTGTAATTTGGTCGTTACAGTTAATTTTGGTCTGCCTATTCTCAATGGTTTCGTCTGTCAGACACAAGTTTGGGCTCTTCGCCATCTTCATATGACACTCGGTCAAATTTTCCTCACTTGGGCTACGAATTGCTGCTATATTGGACCTACGGTTTGATGAGCCTAATATGTTGTCATCGCCGATAATTTTGTCTGCCTATCCTCACTGTCTGTCAGGATCAAATTTTGGCTTCTCGCCATCTTCAGATCGCACACGGCAAAATATGCTATACTTAGGTCACAACTTGCTGTTGTATCAGGTCTGCGGGATGTTGAGCTTGTAATTTGGTGGTTATAGATAATTTTCATCTATATTGTGTCTGAGGGTGATGAACCTGTAATTTTGTCATTGCTGATCATTCTGGACCGCCTGACTGGTTTGGTCAGACACAAGTTTCAGCTTCTCATCATCTTCAGATTTCTCGTGGCAAAATTTGCTGCAGCCCGTTAAAAGCCTAGCTACTTCACCAACTAAATCTCTGTCTTTATCTGCATGTTTACAGAAAGTTTTACACTAATCTTTTGTTATCTTAACCAAAAACCTTACATAAAAAAGAATAATTAATTGAAAGAAGTAACTTGGTCAATTGACCACTAAAACAAAATGGATTTTACAATAATCTTCTCAAGTCTTTCGTATTTCGTTGGTAACACTGGAAAAAATTGAAATTGGTTTAAGGCTAGATACTTTACCAGCGATATGTATCTTTAGCTATATTTTTACACATATGGACATCAAAAACCTCTCATAAAAGTCGACTTATAATTTCATTTTGGACGTCAGTAAATGTATGAATGGTGGGATTGGGTTTTAATTATTTACATTAATACATTAATCATGTCTGATGCTGATAATGGAAGGTAAAGGCTCATTTTTAAAAAGAAAAAATGTTTTGCCTAGTGTTTTTTAGCTGTAGCCAAACAAAATCAAACAGGACCCATTTATAATTTTGAAATTAAGTCAGACAAAACAAACCAGGTACGTGACGAGTTGACATTCGATCCGCAGGGGACAAATCAAAAGGGATCATCTCAGCGAGGGCGCTGTACCCAATTAATACCCACTGTCTGTTGAATTCGTTACGCCGGAGGTTTTCAAAAGGACGAACCCATTCCGATTGTCTTCCTTTAATTGATCCTTATATCTGTTTTAATGTAACTTTTGTCGATTGTGCAACTGACCAGATAATGTCAAAACGTCAGATGTGACTTAACGTTGAAAACGTATGCAAATGATTGTTTTTTTAATTGGAGTTTTTTTTTCAGATTGGACAGTCGTGTTTTGGCTTGACCAAAATGACATGGGTGCAAAATAGCTTGAACTACTCTGCATCTTCAGGTAATGGAATTTTGCGTTTATCTAAAATCCTGATTTTCTTATAGAATTCCTACATTTTTCCCAGTCAAATGAACATTTGAATGAAAAAGTGAATAAATGTAGTGTACAATGACCATTTAAGAAAAAACAACACACTCGATAAAATGATAAATAAAAAAGATTAGATACCTAGATCTATATATAGATTTACATATGGATAGATAAATGGAAAATTATTTTTCAATATCGATCAGCCTTTTTTTGTTAATGGCAATGTTCGTACGTCAGAATCGTCAGAATTATTTTAAAATTCACTTATACCAAGTGAAAGTAGGTACCAGGAGGTCATTTTCTCTAAATATTTCTTATAAATATTGCAATTTATCAGTTTTCTAACACACAGACAAAACCTTTTGAGAAGAGGAAGTGGATATATACATAATAATATGATAATACGTATGACGATAATAAATAAATCGTGGATTATACACTTTTACTTTTCGCTGGATAACAAGTGTACATCGGAGGACTTTGGTTTTAATTGACCACATACAAACAGATCTTTTTCAGAGGTTGACTGATTAATATAGCATGTCTTGTTTAACAGAAACATGTTTCTGTTTATTCAGTTCTGCTCGTAAATGGGCGTACACTGATGTATAGTTTATTTTGAGTCGGTTGTGCTGTAGTTTTCTATGAGAAGAACAGCAGAACCAGTATCCGTATCGCCACATGGCAGACGGGGCACGAATAATCAAGGAGAGCTCTGACCATAGTACTGGAATGGATAAAATCAAGGGAAGTGTAAACAAAAGGCCAATCCGCAGTCATAAGAACTGACTGAATTCAGATCTACAAAATAAAAGCTCACAAAAACTATAAAGAAGTTGGAAACATTTAGAAATCTCTACTACACCTAAATTACGGGGATGGAAAGTACACCTTAAATAACAGCTCATGTAGGATAAGAAGTGAAGAAGGCTGAAAGGATGGAGTGATGAATGATTTTTCTTAAAGTGAGTAAATCATGAGTGCGAAACGCAATAAGTTACATAGATATCGACATAATACAACGAAAAACCGATAAGATATCGAGTGAAGAAGCTATCCAGTATTAGCACACATAAATCATAGAATCACTCGCACACTCTGAGAGCAGGTCTAGAGGACATTGTCTTTTTTTAGACGTCGAGGAGTATTTTTGGTTATGATCGGGAGGAAAGTTGTTGCACTTGGGTATTAGAGTTGCATTGAAGGTTAGTGTGAAATTTTTAGCAGCTGGAGATGATTTTTTTTTTGGGGGGGGGGGCATTCAGGTCGGTATGGATGGGAACGTAAACCGGGTTAACGATCTGAAGATTCGTGATTGTACGGTCTGGATTTTGTGGAGACAGGAAAATTTGGTTGAACCCCATAGTTCCATGCCGTACGTCCATATGGGTTTCGGTATTGATTTGTATATGATTATTTTGCTGTCAAGGGAGAGTAGATCTGTTGTTCAGTAGTATTTTAAGTAATCTGTGCCTTCGGTTCAGTGCTTTCCTTTAAGTCGTGTATGGAGGGGTGAGTCGTTTGTCGAGATGTTGCTCTAAGTTAGCGTACGACGGAAAGGGAGGACGAGGGTATAATAGTTTGGAAGTAGGGGTTTGTGGTTATGAGTGAGTATGACTGGGTTTGAGTTAGAGGATAGAATGGCAGTGTCATCAACGATATTAGTTTCAGGATGGAAATGTATATCAGTAGTATATTCACAGTACAGTGGGGATTAGCCGTCTAAAAATCGCAGATTACATGATTCGCCTTCCCCAGATTGTAAGCGACAAATATTTCATCGTCAAATGGTATTCTAATATACTAGTTTGCTACAGGAACCTCGAGTACAACCTTATTATCGAGTATCTTGTTCATTACTCTAGAGAAGCATCACTATAAGCTGTTCGATTGCTAAAAAAGGTACAGCATAGGTTGTATAAACCTTTTTTCCGCAAAACTCTGATATTACTTGATGTGGTTGACAGCCCATCATGCCGAATGAAAGGCCCCGTCAATGTCACTAAATCACAGTTACTAGTGGGGAGAATAAGCTTTCTCTTAGCTTTTTTATCAGTGAAAGGTGTATACCTACGTTTACGAGCGAGTCATTCGTTATTCGGCTGTCCATGACTATATTAATTTTTTTGGCAATGTTTTCCGTGATCCATGGCGTAACGGAGCCATTTGCTCGGAATGTCGTTTGAGCAATGACTCGTCAGCTCTTCTGTTCGGTTAAAGCCGATTCTTCTTTCTCTGAAAAGCCACCAACCAATATTTTTCCTATCCTTAATTATCGCGACATGAAACTCCAGGTCACAGCCGGCACCCTACCCGGATGTAGCCAAAGTTGAGAGGAAGCGGGTTTAACCAACACATTCACTCCGCTCACGACCTTTCCTGCTTTGATCTTGTCGAACTGATGACGAGATGATTCTAGTCTTTGCTCCTGCACATAGACTGGTATCACTCCTGCTATTAAAGATGCGGCATCGAACGAAATATTTCTATAGATTCTAATATTCCGGAACATTGGGTTCCCGATTACTCATCGTCAACAAGACAAGAGGATCTTTAACGTCCGCACCTAGCCTATACGGCCTTATCGGAGGTTTTGATTCTCAAGATGAGAGCTGACGCACCTCCGCATACGACGGAATAGTGTTACCGCCGCAGCATTGGTGTAGTGGTGTCCCGGCCCCTGAGGGTCGGTAGCCACGCTCTCCGCTTGTCCACTCCGAATGGCCGGGCCCGCATTGTGGGTCGGGTCGTACGCCGCACGCGAGGGGCTAACGGGCCGAAATACATCAGCCCGTCCCCCCCCCTCGCGTACTCCCTCGATAGAGAAGGCGACTCTATCTCTCTGAGTGTAGAGGCTTCTCCAGCGTAGAAACTTCCGGGAACGCCCCGACAACGGTTTCGGATTATAGTGGGATTGCTACCCACCCCCTAGATGAGCACAGTCTACGGTAAAAGGTCTCTTATCGAGCTCAGCCTATACCTGCTGCGCGCAATCGAGGGACGCCATAGGTCTAGCCTAGGTGGTCCGATCCTTCGCTTCCCCAAGGGTACCACGCCGGTCATACGCACAACAATGCAAAGCATACTCGAGTCAAAGACCGCCGATTTCACTACCCTTTTCCAATCGCTTACTTACGCATTCAAGAGACTGTAGCATGATCATGACGTCCTCAACGCTTACATGCTGTCGTCCGGTCGCAACGTCTCCCGTGAGGAACGGGGGGTAATACATTGGCCATACGCAAGCTTCACGAAAGGTCCCAGATAGAAGACAGCCTCTGTCTAAGTTCCCGCCAGGGGCGTCACCACAAGCCACCACGAGTCCATCCCAATGTGACTCTGGGCTGGTTTTTGAAACAGTTGAGTCACCCCGTGGAAATATTCCGGAACAGTCATAGTCTGTGAAATCCATTTTCATACAATTTCCACTCACCTTCAAGCACTGCGGTGCTGCATACATGACTAATGGCGAAAACGCACTTTTGTATTTTTTTAGCCTCTCTACTCCCTCAAGCCCTGGTATTGTTTATCTGTTCGTCATCTCTTGCAAGCCCTTTTCTAACAGGCCCAGTGTTTTTGTGGGTTGTGTCTGATTGTTTTATGTTTGGCTGTAGACTGGTTTTATATATGTGGTTGTTTTTCTGCCTGGTTTGAGCTTGATGTGTTCCTGTTTTTTTTACTGTGGTTTATGTTTGTTTGTGCTTGATATGCTTGTTTGATCGGTTAACACCTTGTCATTCACCTACACGTATTTCTTAACAAACTAATGCTGTTAATAAGTAACATGAGGTAATTATTAATTAATTTTATTACTTAAATGTTAATCTTTTTATCTTGCCATTTCAATAAAACTGGAGGACGTTTTGTAAAACATGATATCCATGTTGGGCAGTAGACTAGTGAAGTTCCAGTTTTGTACTAGTATGTTTTGTAAAGAACTTTTTTTAATCTAATCAACGTCCACTTACCAACAATAAAATTAATACTGTACGTTTGTACAGATTTTATTATCATTACGTCAGAGATGAAGGAGGTCAATTGTGAGTTGGATCGTATTTTATTTGGATATGTGCGAATCACTCCTTTGTTTATATCATTGTGTTGTTTGAAAAATGGACATTAAAAAATAAAATAATGGAAAGGTTATTCGGTCGGGAGATGCTCTGAGTTCGCGTCTTGTGAGACGGACCCGGGTGAAAGGTCGACTCGGCTCAAGGACCATTGCCATTGTTACTTCATAGACGCTGAAGAAAGTAACCAAATGACCCGGGTTGCACAAGACGATCCTTGCCGTATTACACGTAGCCCGGCTACTTGAGACTTAAAAGTTCCAAACCCCCTGCGGACGAGAGGCAATCCTTCCAAAACTGACCAATTTTTCAATATTTGAGCGAGATTTTCACAAAAAGGGAAAACCTTTTTTTTAATATTTTACGTTTGTTTGACAGTTGTACATATAAATAAAACAAAATATTACATCGTGGGGGTGGTTGTTGGTACGGTCGGTAAACACGTGTTAAAGTATATTGTAAGTTTTTCACTGAAGATGGCGTAAGTCCCGCTTTCATGACATCTAAACCCGCCAAAGAGTAAACTGGCCTAAAGTGTCCAACAGTATAACAAATAATTCATTTAGAAATCGTGAGGTGCGGTCTGGTGTGATGTAGGTTTCAGAAAAACATTTTCTTTATCGTGCCAACGTTTCGATCTTTATTGAGATCATCTTCAGGGCTCAAAGTGTTTGCCTTCTGTGTAATTGTGCCATTCTTGCGTGTCGTGTCGAGAGTGCCCCGATTAACGGTCACTAATCACCACACAGTATAACAAATATTAGTCGGCTGGCAAACTATTTCAACATTAAATTTGTTTTTTGAACCTTAGTTCATTCTTCTTCACTTCTGTTTTTTAGACATTTATGCCTGCTCATCGCTTAAGGTTTTATCTATTTCTACTTTAATGTATTGTACTGCACTTTATTCTATGATAGTACTACACAACTCTGTTCTACTCAATCATACTCTATTGTACTTTGCTCCTATTTACTGTATTTTACTCTTACTACCTGCCAACTACTTATTTTCATTCTCAACATAGGTTATTATAACTGGCATCTACCTTTTTATAAGATAATATATTTTTCATGTATATATGTAATATGTATAATATATTTGTATTATATGTGTAATATAATATATTATACATGAAAAATATATTATCTTATAAAAAGGTAGATGCCAGTTATAATAACCTATGTTGAGAATATAGGTATGGTATGGTATGGTGGAAGGGATGCCGGGAAGCGGGGCTTGTGTTCCCCAGGCACTGCAGCCTTCTGGCTTATTGTACCTTCCCAGTTCCCTAGTTTAGTCAATAGACTCAATCCTTCTTCTCAGAAGTATCAGGTCATTGACTGTTATTGCTGCAACTTGGTTCCCTGAGTCTTTTTCGTACGTTAGGTTAAACCTCCATTGAGCTGTTGCTTCGCATTCGAAGATGATATGAGTGGCTGTTTCCTCCTCCTCATNTATATATATATAATTCCCACTCTTTTCTCTCTTTCTCTCTCTCACTCTGTCTCAGACCACTTCTCTATCTAGCCACTTTTCTCTCGCTTCTCGCTATCTATCGATCTATCTATTTTTCCTTCCTCTCGCTCTATCTATCGATGTTTCCTTCCTCCCTCCCTCTCCCTCACTCCCACCCTCTCACCCTCTCTCCCACCCTCTCCCTCTCCTTTTCACAATGATATTTTGTTCCTTCTCTCATTGTCTTCTTCCCTTACCTCTCTATATATCTGTTTAATTGTCTATCTCTCTATTTTTCGCTTATGCGGAATTCTCAGTATAACTTCTGCACAAATTGCGCTGTTGTGCTTATTTAAAATACGAGGAAAACTAGTATAGAAAGGTAAAACCACGATTCGGCAACAGGATTTTATAGAACCGTTTATCACCACCAGTTTCTGTTATTATATTTTAAAGCCTGAACAAAGCTTTCATATAAAAAGGCCGTCTCATTTTAAAAGATTTCACCTGACCACTTTTTCCTAAACGAAAGTTTAAAGTTTTCCGTTTAAGCGAAAATCCATGGGATAGTGTAATACAATTGGTGCAATTGCGCAAAATTACGGCGGATCAAGAAATCGTTCAGAGCCTAAGAAATTCACGCCTGATGTAAAGCAAAAGCCAAGAGGGTAAGAGGAGAAAAGTACTTGAAAAATCAATAAGAGTAAGAAAATTATAAAATCATATATAATGTCGCAATTTTAAGTCAGTGAACGTTTTAGTTGAATATGAAGAGGTCATGAAATATTTGAACATTTGGAAGATCTACACTCTCGCGTAGACACGAGTATGTATAAAAAAAGACTTTCATGGTTTTCTATAGTCTTCTTCTGACGACACCATCATATTTTATCTAGACAATTGGTTCTGACTTTTGCTCCTTTCTAGTTCGACAATAGAACTGTTTCATGGTTCGCTTCGGTTTTTTACAATTTTTTCTTCATGGTTTTAAATGCAACTTATTTTAAAGTCACTTGCATCTAGAAACGCTGTCCCCCGATTGAGAAAGTAGCTTAGTTCAGAAGGTGGGAAAGGTTTTTCCACCCATCTCACGGTTTCTTAATATCCTCGGTGAGTTGCTTCAGACCACGGAAGATCAGACATTCTTCTTAATTGTGATCCGTCCGAGAATGTGAACGTCGGCCGTGTCGTTTGTAATTAAAGAAAGGTCGCTTTTGTATTTTGGTCGATTAAAAAACAATTCCATCCTTAAAATAATAACTATATTACAATTCTTAATACAATAATTTGTACATAAAATATTTATAGAAAAAACAAACATGCAACATCGAAGGGGAAATGTGAGGTAACGTGTCGTCAATCGCCTCCTTTGTTAATTTTAGATGACAGGGTGATTATAACTTATGCACTAAATGTTAATAAATTAATTAATTATCCGGCGAAATGGTGTCCGACGTGGTGTTTGACGCCCCATTTGAAATGTGCCTCTTTATTTGTTTTTTGGTATGTGTGTACCGGTCCAGTTACTCCCATATGGCCTGTTCTTTTCACCCTCGGCACCTCGGGGACTTCTTCACCGTACGTTTCGGGATTTCTGCGACCTGCAATTTAGACAGAGTGGTAAACTATTGAAAAATATTTCCCCTGTTATTAAAAGATTTCAAGAATATAGTTCCGATACGTCTGAGCGGAGTGTACAACGTTAATTGATGGGTGTGCTGGGTCTCGCATGGGAAACGATATTTACATTATCCCATGGCTTAATTACTTCAAAATTACTCTTTCAGTTCTACCAGAATAACCTTAACTACATTAATTACAGAAACCTGATATGTAAAATAAAGTACTTTTTAAGTTAATAATTAACTAATTATTTTCAAATTTATTAACGACACAGATATAAAGAAAAAAAGAATAAGAAAAAAATAGAAAGGAAAATGAAGGGCGAAAATGAGAAAGAACAACAGGGAGAGAGAAATGGATATATAGACATATATAGAGAGAAAGGGGGAATGAAGAAGGAGAAAGAAAATTTGGATGAGAAGAAAATAGTTTAATAAAACATAGAGTGAGAAAAGGGTAATCAAGTGAAAGAAGAAAAGAAAAAAATAATATACCGAAATCAGATTAAGACGATTATATAAGAAAATAAAACGTAGAAAGAGAGAGAGAGAGAGAGAGAGAGAGAGAGAGAGAGAGAGAGAGAGAGAGAGAGTGAGAGAGAGGGAAAACTTAACCAGAAAGAAGAAAGACAGACAGATATGGAGAAATAAAAAGAGGGAGAGAGAGAACAAAGACGACAGCAAACAAATCAATGCTTGAGAAAGAGAGTGAGGGATAGTAAGAGTGTAATAAAGGATAGAGGGAAAAAGAGGGAGTGAGAGAAAGAGTTGGTGGATAGCGGGAGGGACAAAGAAATGTCAGAGGGAGAAAGAAACAGAGTGTAAGCAAGAACTGAAGAAGAAAGAAGGAGAGAGGTAAATATTAAAATAATGGACAGTGATATAATGTGATTCAGAAAAAATTGAGAGAGAGAGAGAGAGAGAGAGAGAGAGAGAGAGAGAGAGAGAGAGTGAGTGAGAGAGAGAGGGAGAGGGAGAAATGGAAAACTTAACCAGATAGAAGAAGAAAGACAGACAGATATGGCGAAATAAAGAGAGCGAGAGAGAGAACAAAACAATGGTTAAGATAGAGAGTGAGAGGGAGAGGGAGAGAGAGATAGAGTTGGGGGATGGCGGGGAGAAAGATAGAAAGGCCAGGGGAAGAAAGAAACACAGAGCAATCAAGAACTGAAGAAGAAAGGAGCAGAGACGAAAATCTTAAAAGAAGGGAGAGAGAGGAAGAGAGAGAGGTAGAAAAAGAGAGAAACTAAACAAAATTGGAGAATAAAAAAAGACAGAAAGAATGAGGAAAGATAGCGAAAAAATATATATTGCAACAAAGCATAGAGAGAAAATAATTATACAGATTGTATACATAAATGCATACATGCAAGTGGAGCAGATAACTTAGACCAACGTTATTATATATACACATATGACCAGAGTGAACTGTTTTAAGTTGAATATATGAAAACACAGCTTCCATCCACAATATAAGTTTTTCTGCTTTTGTCGTAGTTTTTATCTGTACAGGATACCTTAGTTAGAATAAGAACTCTGCTTCAATAGTTTTCATTTTAAGTAATTAAAAAAATCAACTTTTTAATAAGTATTTCGATTCTACGAGCAAAAATAAACACTTATCGTTTGGTAAAGTTGAGTGTTTTTCTTTTCTATTACACCGATTAAATTATTATGATTAAGCTACTAAGGCAGAAGCAAAAATCCTTACTTTCGTTGTTACATATTATAAAATAGCTTAGACAATTTGCCTTTTGTAAAAATCAGTAAATCGTGGCAGCTTTATCTTGTTGGAATTAATTTTTTTTGTTAATTAAATTATAAACAAAACTTTAATATCGATAGTGTAAATCCTTGCGGAGAGCAGTAATTAAATATATAACTTTTGAAAATAGTATTAGGGTTAAGACAGTCCCTGGGCACTCGGGGCATAGTGGCAACGAAAAGGTTGGACTCTGGGCACTGAACCCTACTGTGGCTTAGCATCCTGCCACAAAAGATGATATATCTTAACATAGATCCTTAATGAGTCCAAAACCTCGTGGAACAACATCACAGGTATGAGGCACGCGAAGAGATTCATAGGGGGACCAACCGACTTACAAAAGAATTGCTGGAAGGCAAACACAACCGAATCAAGATTCTGGTTTCTGGAAAGGACATTGCCACTTAAGAAAACACATGCACAGGATAGGAGTACAGACAGAAGAAACATCGTACAGATAATGCCAGGAAGAGGAGGAAACCGCAGAACACATTTTGTGTGAAGGACTGTGTGCAGGTTCTTTGAATAGTGCAAGAAAAATCGCAAGCAAGATTCTACACAAAGGAGCCGCTGGCAAAGCTATGGAAGCTGATTAATAACTTGAAGATGTCCAATGAGTTATAAAAGCAGGAGAGCACAATTCAGGTCGAGGTGCAGAAGGCCTTGTTGCCGCCTCTTTTATCCCTATCCCTAGAGTTAAGACAAAGGGTTCGCTAACCCCATAATTTTGAAGTTCCGTTGGTCTAAGTTTTCTTTTTGTCCTCCACCAAATAACATATTTACAGGTCTTTATTAAGATCATACAAAAGCGGAGTGCTATGTACTTACTGACTAGATGTTTAAGGTTTCTCCACGTGGACTCCCCACTTGAAATGTCCGTGGGGATCCGTTTTGACGAATGAGACGACGGATTCCTTTTTGTCCCCCTGCTCTTTGACTGACCTGTCGAGATCCTGCGGGTCGGATGTCACGGGGCCGAAGGAGTTGAGCAGCCGGTCAAAGTCTTCCGATTTGGGCTTCACTGTCAGGTCGACGTCAGGCGAGCCTGCTTTGATCTTGAGCGTGCTGTACTGGGCCTCGTCTTCATCGAGGCCGACCGGCGGGACGAGGAGGTCGCTCGCGTCGTACTTCAGGTCCCATTTGCCTTCGAGGAGAGACGCGGCGGCGGCCACTTGCTCGGGGATGTTCTGGGGGAACGGAGCTGCAGGAGGCGTGAGGTACTCTGAAGGAGCCGGTACCAACTCTATCGACTCGGAAGAACTCGAATCTTGGAAAGCTATCCCAGGGATTTTAGCTACAGTAGCGTCCGGGTGCGATTGCCTTTTACCCCTCATCCTGTCTAAAGAACAAATAATACACTACTCAAAATTCTACTTGCTAAATTTTACTCATTACTACAAACTACTTACAGAGAAGCTTAATAATTTACAGCTAGCTAAATTTAATCATTTATGTATAAAAGTAAGTACTATAAAAACCGCCATAAACTATTAAAGTTAGATGAAATTAATATTTTATTAGCATTACTGGGATATTGGCAAAATATGTCTGAGATTTTAAAAGCTAAAGATGATAAAGCAAGTCAACTAAACATATAATTGACCCACGATATTTTCAGTTCAAGATTAAGAAAACCTAAGGGGACTAGTGTTGCAAGTAAAAAATGGTAATAGTTTTAGGCTTTTCCAATAGAAAATCCATCATATCATTCCACGGGTAAAAACAGGTGAACAGAACGCCAAAATGCACACAATTTTACATAGGGACTCGTTCTTTTCTGTGGCAGAAAATTTTTTAAAACTGATATATTTTAATTCTGAAAACATAGAGCTATTTGTTTCTTCCCACATTATCGACTTAGAATTATACCCATGAGGTCAAGAGAAAAAGTGAGATTATGAAAACCTGGATTGCTAGTTTTTAAATAATTATATTTTTTTGGGTGTTCCAATAGAAAATCAATCTATCCTACCATGGGTAAAAGCGATTACAGGCGGACCAAAAGGTCAAATGTTACACATAAAGGGACTCGTTACTTTTCTGTAATAGAAATAATTTTAGAACTGATATTTTTAATGGCAAATTCTGAATCTATAGAGCTATTTCTTTCTTTTAAAATTACTTAGCATGAATCAGACCGATTAGCTCATGAGCTCAAAAGAACAAGCAACACTATGCGGACCAGTGTTGCAAGTCTTAAAAAGTGATGATTTTTTAGGTTTTCCAATAGAAAATCTATCTATCCTACCGTGGTAACAATGATGACATGTACCAGAACGTAAAAGTTACAAAATTTTGTATAGGTATTCGTTCCTTTTCTGTGGGAGAAAAAATTTGGAAACTGATATATTTTAATGGCAAATCCTGAAAATACAAAGCCATTTCTTTCTTCTGATATTATCGAGAATGAATCTTACACAGGAGCTCAAGCGAAAAAGCGAGATTATGTGGACCTGGATTGCTAGTCTGTAAAAAATTATATTTCTTTTAGGTTTTCCAATAGAAAAAAAATAGATCATACCGACAATAGCGATAACAGGACGACCAGAAAGTCAAAAGTTAAACAATTTTACATTGGGACTTCTTTTCTGTTGTAGAAAAATGTTAAAACTGTTACATTCTAATAGCAAATTCTGAAAATATAAAGCTATTTCTTTCTTCTAATATTACCGAAAATGAGTTTTTCCCAGGAGCTCAAGCGAAAAAGCGGGATTATGGGGACCTGGATTGCTAGTCTGTAAAAAATTATATTTCTTTTAGGTTTTCCAATAGAAAATCCATCGATCATACCGACAATAGCGATAACAGGACGACCAGAAAGTCAAAAGTTAAACAATTTTACATAGGGACTTCTATTCTGTTGTAGAAAAATGTTAAAACTGTTACATTCTAATAGCAAATTCTGAAAACATAAAGCTATTTCTTTCTTCTAATATTACCGAAAATGAGTTTTTCCCAGGAGCTCAAGAGAAAAAAGCGGGATTATGTGGACCTGGATTGCTAGTCTTTAAAAAATGATCATTTGTTAGGTTTCTCAATAGAAAATCAATCGATCATATCGGTTAAAAGCGATAACAGGCGGACCAGAACGTCAAAAGCTATACAATTTTACATAGGGACTCGTTTTTTTCTGCGATAGAAAAATTTGGAAACTTATATTTTTAATGGCAAATTGTGAAAATATAAAGCTATTTCTTTCTTCTCACATTACTGACCATGAATGTTACCCACGGGCTCAAGAGAAAAAGTGAGATTATGAGGACCTTGCTAGTCTTTAAGTAATTACAATTTTTTAGATTTAACAATAACAGGCGGACTAGACCGTCAAAAGTTACACAATTTTACATAGCTCGAGAGAAATAGCGAGATTATGCGGACCTGGATTGCTAGTCTTTAAAAAATTATAATTTTTTAGGTTTTCCAATAGAAAATCAATCAATCATATAAAGGGGGAAAGCGAAACAGACGGACCAGAAAAATTTGTACAAAACTCGTTACTTTTATGTGATAGAAATATTTTTTAACTGATTTATTTTAGTGGAAAATTATTAAAATACAAAGCTATTTCTTTCTTCTAATATAACTGCAGATGAACCATGAGCCTAAGGGTAAATGCGAGAATATGCGGACCAGAGTTAATCAACGTTGGACAAATACGATTCATTCTCCAGTTGAAACCTAATTCTTCTTGGGTTATCTTTGTTGGTTAATTTCGTTGACAATGTTGGAAATAAGATATTACATTTTAGATCGAAAGGCGAGAATGTGCGGTTACCCAGTCGTACATAAAATTAGTTTTGATTTTCTAAAAGAGCGAGGATAGACGGACCTGATAGTTATGATTTGACTGTGGATAAGCCATTGTCGGGTTTCACATAAGAAACAAAGTGCGCAAGATACTTAAATTTTTTGCCCGTTTTTCTGACGGGTCAAGGCGTCGCGGTTGTTAGCAAGCTCTCGCTTTCCAAAGCTTTCTAAACGAGGCAAGTTCAATGGCGAGTCGATCCTCATTATGCAACCATCGCTGTCTATAATTATGAAGACACGGGCCGGCCATTGGGAGGAACAGCGGCCAGGTCCATACAAAGGGCTTTTCCATTTCTTTTCCCCTTTTTGAATTTTCAACTCGCCATGTCCGTTCTTGACAAATGCACGCTGGGTGAAATTAGAAATTGATAGCGTTTTACGCAACGGGGCCCGGTCCTTAACGCCCACCAACTTTTTTGTTCCAGGTTGTCAAAGAGTCGGCTCTCCTGACACACATTTGAACACGGGCGCCGACCTTTACATAAAACCCGGACCGATTCGTTAAATAACCGTGTCCATTAAATTTAAAAAATAAATTAAATTAAAAACCAAAAGTCTTATATCCTAATTCGCCTATAACAAGGGAAATAATTGACGACTGGAGTGAGCAGGCATGACGTGCTACTTACTTTAACCTACCAGTTAAAAATCTTAATTACACGTGATATTTTAAGAAGAGTAATTAAAAACCTAATTATTGTGTCAACGAAAAGAAAAGAAATTCCATGTAAACAACTTTTAGTTTCAAAATCTAACCTCAACTTTCCAACTCTTTGCCACTCTGCTTTTTGATTTATTGCCATGGAAAAAACCTTTTTTTAATATAACAGAGAACATTTTATATATGGTGCATATGTTCCTTGGTGAGAGAGGCAGTTCGCCAAATTTAGAAAAACTCATTATCTCTAGAAAGCTGACGGCGATTTTTGGTTTAAGTTAAAAGTGATAAATTATCTAATTACAGTCTATAAAATATTAGTGTTATTGTATTGAAGAAAAAAACTTAGTAAACCTGACCAATATAACGCCATAATTATTTTAAGCTCGAAACCCAAAAGACAGATATTTTGGAAAAGTCTTACCAACCGTAAACACTGGGCACTTGAACAGCTAACTGAAAAGCTTTTTAAATGAACTTTTTATTTCAGCTCGATATTTTATACAGCTTTAATGGCAAAATATTCTTTCTGGATCAGACAACATAATGCGCGTTAGAATCGAGGCGCCTCTCCCTGCTTATGGCCTCGACGTAGCGCATTTAAAAAAACGTCTACCATGGGACGGCAGTATACATTCACACATTTTGTGCATGCGCGTCCGCATATGTTAATCCGTTTGGATAAACATATGATATAAAATTCATAAGGGATCATTTAGAATGAGAGTGGAAATTTTTTCCCCCGAAGAGGACTACGAATATAACAATTGGAAAATTGTTCATTTTCGTTGGTAGATGTTTTACGTTAGTTTGTTTAGACAAATGGCAAAATATTCTTTCTACAAAACTCGCATAAGAATCGGGACGCCTCTCCCTGCTTATGACCTTGACGTAGTGCATTTGCCTAATGCCCCCACCTACCTACCGCGCATTTAAAACATGGTAAATGTAAAAATGATTATCTATGTATGGTAGATGTAAAAACTACAATATGTAGATAATCAGCCTTTTTTAAAATTAGCTGTCCCTCTTTAAAAATTCTAGCTAATAATTTACCTAACCAGGTTTAGTTCGCAGGGCTGCAATCACCCGGCATTTTACTATTGGAGTTGTAATGATAACTACCCCGACTGGATAAACTTATGCTAAACCAGGTGACAAAAAATGAGTAAGAATGAAAAGAGTCTTTGCTTCGTCTCTCCCTGCTTATAACCCTGACTTCGTGTCATCCGTGTACGATCTTTCCAGCCAATCGGGCCTATTTTTCCGAAAAGGGGGCATGACGATTGGAAAATCAGGATATTTTGTTTCAAAACCAAAATATTGTCCATTATCAATAAATTATTTTTAGACTCTTGGAATGTGACAAGTAAACATCAGGATTATTAATCCAAGAAAGTACTAAATGACTTAATTGTCAACCAATTGGTTTTTTTATTCTATTAAATGTAAAAATTAAAAAAAAACATTTCTGTAATTTCTCTTTTTCAAAATTATTTTACAACTTTAAAAATCTAAGGTAATATGTATACTAATCAGCTTAAAGTTAAAAAATTAGCCAATTTAGATGATCCCAAATAAACCATATGTGTGATCAAAAAGTAGGGTGGTTGGAAAGTAAGCGCCTTGCCTCTCCCTTCTTAGAGGCTTGACGTCTTGCATATAGGTTTGGTCTTTTCCAGCCTATTGAGGAATTTCAAAAAGGCCGGATTTCGCAAAACGAAAGTTTTTTGTTTCAGTTGGCTATGCTGTTTATACATAATTTCCGAGTTATACTCATCTTCTTGTAGTTAAAAAATAAATAGCTAGTTTAGATAAACCCAAATAAAACAAAAAAGAGGCAGAATGGAAAGAGACACCTTGCCTCTATCTGCTTATAACTCGAATTTCTCTGTCTACAACTTCGCCGACTAATCGAGCTTGGCCGAAATGCCAAGTGGATAAATAAAACTGCAAAAAGCAGACGCAAATCAGAAAAAAGAAAAATATCAGCGTCTTGCCTCACCTTGCTTATAACCCTGACGTCAGTCAATAGTATTTGCCGAGCAATCCAGCCTTGCAGTTTAATATGCGGAGTCTTCCGTCGGTCATAACTCAGAAATTGTCGATCCTATCAAAATTTTCATTTCAGTAAAAGTGGCACAAAATAAGCTCTAGAATCAAATTGTAACGTCGTACCATTTGCATTCTTTTCCGACCGATCGCGCATTTCTTCCGCAGGCAAAACTCCGGATTTTCTGCCTCAAAACTAAAATATATATCCATATATGTTCAGTAGTCATAATTGTCCGTATTAATTATTTTAATTAATTGTACTTTTTATCTGAGGTCTTGGTTGATATAAAAAATTAGTGTCACGAGTGTATCACTTATGTAGACCACCCATTTAATTCGGAAACGATTTACTTTAGCAAAAAATGATCTTGTACAAACCTCAGGTTAATTTTGGCTAGGTATCGCGTGGTGGTAACAGATTTAACAAAACTTTCTCACCAGCTGGGACAGGACACTAATTTTGTTATTTTAAATGGGAACCCCTTATTTTTTTAGCTAGACGAGAAAGTTATATTAAATCTGTTACAACCACGCGATTCAAAATTAACTTGGGGTTTGTACAAGATCATTTTTTGCTTAAGTTAACCGTTTTCGAAATAAACTTGGAGGTCCATCTTGTTAAAAAAGCACACCTCCCTCACGCGCCTTCCGTCGGGCATAGCTGAGAAATAGTCGATCCTATCAAAATTTTCCTTTCAGTAAAAGTGCCACGAAATAAGCTCTAGAATCGAATTGTACAATAAAAATATCGGATTCTTATTTAAAATAACAAAGTTAGTGTCGTTTCCCAGCTAGACGAGAAAGTTTTGTTAAATCTGTTACAACCACGCGATTCCTAGTCAAAATTAACTTGGGGTTGGTATGGTATGGTATGGTATGGTGGAAGGGATGCCGGGAAGCGGGGCTTGTATTCCCCAGGCACTGCAGCCTTCTGGCTTATTGTACCTTCCCAGTTCCCTAGTTTAGTCAATAGACTCAATCCTTCTTCTCAGAAGTATCAGGACATTGACTGTTATTGCTGCAATTTGGTTCCCTGAGTCTTTTTCGTACGTTAGGTTAAACCTCCATTGAGCTGTTGCTTCGCATTCGAAGATGATATGAGTGGCTGTTTCCTCCTCCTCATTACATAATCTGCAAATGGGGTCATCGCTGTATATACCCATGTTGTGTAGATGTTTTCTCAGATACCAGTGACCGGTTAGTAGTCCCACCACTCCTCTGAGTTTTGCCCTCTCCAATTGCAGCAGTGTTTTTGCCAATTTTGGTGAGGGTTGTTTCAGCATAAGTTTACTATGTCTAGCACCGCTAGAGTTTATCCACTTCTCTCTTTGTTTTGTTTGGATCCATTCTGCGATGGAGGAATCTATGTTTGTTTTTGTTATCCCAAGGATAGGTTCGGGGCCTATGTATGGTCTTGCAGATCCTCTTCTGGCCAGTTTGTCCGCCTCTTCGTTACCCAGAATTCCCCTGTGCCCTGGCACCCAAGATATCATCAGGTTGTTGTGTTCTCCCAGGTTTTGGAGATTTTGGATACATTCACTGACTAGTTTTGATGTAATTCTTTTACATGCCAGTGCTTTAATAGCTGCTTGACTGTCTGATCTTATGAGGATTTTTTTGTCAGTGTAACCTCTTTTGAGATTTTCCAGGACACAAGCATTGATGGCATGTATTTCTGCTTGAAAGACCGAAGTATACTTCCCTAATGAGTTTGATTGCTCATATTTTGGGCTTGTACAGAAAACGCCTGATCCGGTTCCTTCGTTTGTTTTGGAGCCATCCGTATACCATGTCATTGTATCTGATGCTTTCCTGTGTTCTTCCTCTCCTTTATAGTCTGTTGAGACTTTATAGGAAGTTGTGAAGATTGTTTCCGGGATCATGTAGTCAGTCCCCATTTCTAATAATGGGTGTCTGATTTTATTGATTATGGTTGTATGCCCGAATTGTTTGGTTCCTTTCCAATTTAATTGTTTTTGGAGCCTAAATGAGCTTTTCCTAGCCTCTCCTTGTATGAATATTTCAAGTGAAGGTAGGTTTAGCGAGGTTTCTAATGCGCTTGCAGGGGTTGTTCTCAGCGCCCCTGTGATACATAGGTTTGCTAATCTTCGTAAGCTGCCTAATGTTTGGGTAGCTACTTTTTGTTGAGCTTTGTTCCACCAGATTAGTGATCCGTAGGTTATTCTGGGTCTTATTACTGCCGTATATAGCCAATAGGCCATTTTCGGTTTTAGTCCCCAGGATTTGCCTAAGGTCCTTCTTGTGGTCATTAGCGATGTTTTACTTTTTGCTACTGTATGTTGCAGGTGAGGATTCCAGGTTAGTTTCTTGTCAAAGATTATTCCTAGATATTTGACCTCATTTTTTAAAAGCAGCATTTCATTATAGAAGCGTAATCCTCGTATTTCTATATTTCTTTTCTTGGTGAAAGCAATTAAGGTGGTTTTTGAAGGGTTTACTTTAAGTCCCCACTTTAAGCACCATTGTTCCACCAGGTTTAGTGCTCTTTGGGTGAGCTCTTTTAATGTTGAGTTGAATTTTCCCCTGACTAGTATGACAATGTCATCTGCATAGCCTTGGGTGTAAATTCCACTTTCATTTAGTTCGCGTATGAGGCTGTCCACTACCACATTCCACAGCAGAGGCGAGAGTATTCCTCCCTGTGGACACCCCCTCGCCACCACTGCTTCTACTTTTTCGTGGAACATGGAGACCTGCACTTTCCTGCTTTTTAGCATTGATTCTATCCATCTACAGCAGGCGCTGTTTGAGTGATGTAACCATTGCTTCGAAAGGAGTGTTGTCAAATGCTCCTTCGATGTCCAAGAAGGTTCCTAATGCTGTTTCTTGGTTGTTCAGTGAATCCTCTATCTGTATCGTTAGTTAATGTAGTGCTGATTCACACGATTTTCCTTTCTGATAGGCATGTTGATGTTTATGGAGGGGTTTTTCTTGTAAAGAGCTGCCCCTTACATGTTTTTCAACCAGCCTTTCAAGTGTCTTGAGTAGAAAGGATGTTAGACTAATCGGTCTATACGATTTTGCATCTGTGTAGTTATTCCGAGCAGCTTTAGGAATGAAAACTACTTTTACAGTTCTCCATATGCTTGGGGTTTGTTCAAGATCATTTTTTTGCTAAAGTTAATCGTTTTCGAAATAAATGGGTGGATTATAGAAGTTGCCCTTTATCGAAATGTATTCTATTTCTTATGAAATCTAATCTTAAACAACATCCTTCTGCATCATTGAACGTCGTTTTTCGATTCGTTACGCTTTTTAATTATTAGATAATGGTAATTGTCAACCGTGTCAGGTGCAATGAAAGTAAAGTGCAAGTATGAATATTTTATATATGAAATATTTAAAATTTGTAATTTTATAATAGGGGTTTGTGTATAATTTATGTATTTCACCTCAATGATAAACAATGTTTTGGGATCTACTGTTTCGTTATTTAGTCGACCCGTCATTGCTCGGAAAAGCATAAATCAACATGGTTGGCGTATTGACTTACGATTTGCTCTCACTTCCTGGCCAAGAGCCGCGAAGAAACGCCAATTGTGAAAGAAGGGCTGATGAGTTTGCACGTCAATTGGCCTTATTAAAGTGAAAATCAAAGGCCGGTCTCGTATTTTGTATAAACAGATTCCCCCGATATGAATTTCGAGGTGAGTAGCTTTCTTTTCTCACGGTTTTGTCAAGTCTTACTTTCTTGGAGCGGAGTGAGAATTTGATGCAAAAAATCGAATACTTTTTCGCAACCGTCCTGGAACGTTTTTTGTCATTAGTTAATTGTTTTTCTATTAGTCTTTGACCCAGCTGGATGCCATTTTATAACAGGACGGATTATGCAACGGACCGAAAGTGGGTTAGATGCCCTCAATCATTTGACAATATAAGAGACCGGTATTGGATAATTTTATAGCGAGAAGACGGTGATGGTGATCAGGATACCACCAAGCGGGGTTTGTCTTCCCCAGGCACTGAAGCCTTCTGGCTTACAGTACCTAACTAGTTCCGTAGTTCAGTACAATCGACAATCCTGCTTCTCAGAAGTACTAAGTGATTGACTGTAGCTGCTACAATTTCATTCCCTAGGTTGTTCTAGGTTAAATCTCCATTGAGCCGTTGCTTCGCATTCGAAGATGATATGGGTGGCTGTTTCCTCCTTTTCAGTACATCATCTGCAGATGGGATCATCGCAGTATATGGCCATGTTGTGTAGATATTTTATCAGATGCCATTGATAGGTTTCCACTCCTCTAAGTCCAGCCCTTTCCAATTGCAGCGGTGATTTTGCCAGTCTTGGTGAGGGTTGTTTTACCATAAGTTTGTCTACTGTGAGCACCGCTAGAGTTTATCAACTACTCCTTTTGTTTTATTTGGATCCGTTCTGCGTTGGAGGATTCTGTATTTGCTTTTGTTATCCCAAATATAGGTTCAGGGCATATGGTCTTGCTCTCGTTAGAGGCCCCCCTGCAATTAGAGGTTCAGCCTTTTTGAATGAAAACCGTTTGATTACATGTCCAAAAATTCAAAAAACGCTCACATTCCCTACACCTCCATGGCTAATTGCCATCTCTAGCATAAATCTCTTATTGAATCGTTTTCCCAAAGAATCACATCAGATTGCGTGTATGGAGAATGTTCGCGCCAAAAGTCGCGAATTATAGTTGTTTATTTTGTTCCCGAAATGCCGCTAATCTAGAATTTATCCTAGCTCTGTTCCCACCCCACAATCCTGTCCTGTTGCTGCCGAGTCCTGCTCGCTTCCGTCTCGCTTCCATACAGTCCACTATTAATTAGCCTCCAAGAGTGATTTTCTTTTAGTTTTATTTCAGTTTTTCTCTTATTTAAGAGAAGCATTTTTTCGTTTTGTTAATTACCGCGTCCAAATTACGCGAGTGTCACCTCCCGCATCCTTAATGCGACACATCATACAGGGTTCGGACAGAGCCCCGAAGATTAATAGACTAGGATTCTGTTTTACCTTTGGCCAGAGTTATTGCAGGTTCTAGCTATTAAACGGCTCTCCTCCCTGGTTGTGGAGAAAATCAAGCCATAGTAACAAGTTAGTATTTTATTTTATTTTGTATTTTTATTTAATTTAATTTTATTTTTATTGCGACCGACCAGCGCGTGCACAGAGAATAATTTCTTAAATTAAAATATAAAGATCAACTTTAGTATTTACTGATGGGTATGGTATGGTAATAAGGGTACTAGGAGGCCGGGTTTGTGCTCTCCAGGCATTGCAGCCTTCTGGCTTATTGTGCCTTCCTTGTTCCTTAGTTCAG